CCTGCGACTACTTCAGGGTTTTGTTCATCCAAACAGGCTAAGGTAAAACTGATGATTATATTTTCATTAGATACACTTTGTGGGACATTTTTGTTTGGAGGAATGACCTAGAATTGTCACAGTAAAAAAATCAGTGACGATGAGACAAGACGGTCTGTTCTAGTTCCCCAATCTAATCAAGTTGATTTCTGCAATTATAATAGAGGATTAGTAGTTAAGAGGAGACAGGGCGTCTCAAGGTCTACAGTAAATACTGGGCCGATGTGATTAGTTGACGTGTGTGTCATTCAATGCTGTTGTTATTAATGGTCCAGTCGTCGGCTCACAGCTTTGTTACCGACCTTCATGTCTTGAATGCATCACCATCAGACCTAATTACAAAATATGAATTTGTTTTAAATGTGTGATATATACTGTATTTTATACGATAAGATCCCTCGTTCATTTTCTCTTTCCTACGTTATGTCTTAGAGGACCTTGGGACAGAGAACTCTGAGCAGTTGTACACCGTCCCTCCTGAGATCAAAGCCTGAAGAGAAAGCACTTACTGATGGGATCAGAATACAAAGCTCTGCGGAAGGAGAATGGAGAAGAAAAAAAATGGAATGGACGAGAAGCCAGAGTGAAGTGTTTAATCCTGCCCGCCCCCCCGCCCCCAACGGTGAGGAGCAGCGTCCAGAGCATCTTCATGAATCAGGAACTGCTACGAGTGCCCTGTCTGTCATAGAGCAGTCATGTTTCACACATACACAGCCAGTGGTGTGGACAGTTTGGACTGGAGAGTAAAGCAGTAGAGCTGTGAATGTCTGATTCATCGCTGCCTTCTTTCTCTCTGTTCAGCCCAGCTCTGTCCCCTGGTTTGATGTTATTTTAATTTCTGTTTTACCTTAAACCCTGATTTCTGTAAGAAAAAAAAAAGCAGAAAACAATCATGATTCTTAAAGTTGCTTTTGTTTCAACATTAAAGTAATAAATGAGCTGGATCGTTGCTTTTGTTTTCAGTTCGTGGTTACAAGAACACCGACGACGGTGACGCTACGGTCGGTGCTCTAAGGTGCTTTTCATTTCCTCGCAAAACTTGCTTTAAGTATTTGCCGCTCTTGTAGTAGTAGTAGAATATCACAGTTTTTGTCCGGTTGACGGAAAAATATTGTTTAATTACAAAGTGGAAATGGAAGAAATGTTTTGTTTTTGTTTTGTTTTTCTTCCCCTATCATGGGTTCTGTCTTTGTTCGTTTCTGGTATTGAAATAAACCAGTGCATTACTGTTTTCTGTGGAGGTAATGCCAAAAGAGCAACGCGGCTCTGAAGTGCTTTTTCTTTTATCTCATCGGTCAGCTGTATCTACATGAAGTTTTCACATAGTATTTTACACTCTACATCATTTTAATTTAGATTTCTTAGATTTCATGATTTATCCCAGCGTCACAATGATGTTATATTGTTTATTAAAACAAGTATTTCAAAAATATACACATACTAAAGCAATAATTCACGTCAACACAGTTATTACTTCAACCACCACTGAGCTTTATTTTTTAAAAAAACGTATTTCTAAGAATGGATAATATACGTATTTAGAAAATGAGATATGAAAAAATATATATTACTGGTATGTTAGTTGACTAAAGATATTCTCAGGAAACTATAGGTCACAAACTATGTAAAGGTTTGTTTTTATTGAAGGTTTGACAGTGAAAAGCTCTCACGTTAAGACGTCATAATCTCCCGCTCCATTTGAGGCAATGACTTAAATAGTGTATACTCGCACGTTGGTTTCATCTTCTGCTCTTTCTTTTCTCTATTTCTTTTTTATATTTTTATTTTAAATGGCACAATATGTAACAGCGGTATTAACAGGAATGTTTAAAAACATTTCTTGTTAGATAAGGATAGAGTGCTTTCTTTGGATGGCGAATCTATAGGCGTGCAGTGATTACGTCATATAAATTCTTTTGCTGTTCCACCAATGAAATATCCTTTTGTAGCAACCACTATCCAATGGCGACAGCCCTTACAAAGAACCACTTCCGGTCTGGTCATCCACACAAATGTCCACGTTTTTCATTCCATCTACGAAGCCGCGGCTGCTTTACGTCCGGTGTGATTAGTTGAAAGTTGAGAGTTCGAAACATCTGTGAAACTATTTTTTTTACTTTTATATCTCGGCTCCTGGGCTCCTTTGTTATTATTTGCGTTTTAGATATACTTCGACAGGAGGCGCTAGTCAGCTGTCAAGCTCCGACATTCTCTTCCCCCCTTTCTCCTCCTATCCCTCTTTTCACTCTCGGTATTAGCCTGCTAACTCAACCGGGCGACTCTCCCTCTGCCCCCGTACTAGCACCGTCAACATGCCGGAGTACCTGGACGACCCGTCTGTGCTCACCAAGGACAAGCTGAAGAGCGAGCTGCTGGCCCATAACGTGGAGCTGCCGACCGGCAATCCGACCAAGGACGTGTACGTGCAGCTGTACCTGACGAACCTGACCTCTCAGAACAAAAAACATGCCGGGGACATAGCCACCACTTGGGACGCCTTCTCCAGCGACGAGGAGCTGCCGCCGCCCGTGGTCTCCAGCAGAAGCCGTTCGTCCGGCAGGGTGAGTTTCCAGCAGCGGACTCTCACTTCATTTTGTTTTCCCTCCCTTTCGTCTGTTTGTACAAAGTCACACCACACCAGCCGAACGTCGTTGTTTTTTTACTTCTACCTAAAACTTCATTCAAAAGCATGTGTCTCAGAGTGTAATTTGTCGATTATTATTATTCAAATCTGCAGCTAAAACCATGCTCGGTTGATTTAGTGACGTTTTTCCTTAAATGTAATCAATTATCCGTTTGGTTCGACACGGTATTATGATTATAACAATGAGAGTAGAAAGTTGAAAAAAAGTCTTAGTTTACGTACGTTTTATTGTTCTAGAATCTTTACGACCTTTTCCTGTTAGTTTACGGCTTTAACATATTTTTCATAAATGTACACATTTTAGTCTTAACACACGACTTTAACTCGTCGTTGTAATATAACGACTTTTACTTATGTCCGTGATATGACGCCAACAAAGACTTTAGTCTGGTACGTTCTTTTAATCGCGTTTGTTGCGATTTTGTTCATTGAAACATTGAAAATGTCGTAAAGCGGAGTAGATAACATGGCCTAAAAAGTCCGAATTTGGTCAAATGAAAGTGAAAACATTGTGGACAGTGTCGACCAATTTGGTACAGACGTCACGGTGATCCAACGAAGTTTCCTCCTACGACAAGATAAACTGTTTTCGTTTTATAAAACAAATAGTTGAAGTGGTTTCATTGATTGACAAATCAATCGAAGCCCGCTGCGTTCAAAGACCTGAAATGGACAGCGAGGACTGTATCTGCAGCCGTCTGGTAATCGCTAGATGAATCGATTAGTCGTGACAAAACGTCAATTTCACTTACGGTATCATTGTTCAAGCAAATATTGGAGAAACCACTGTTTTCATAATTAACTCACCGCGCTTAATTTATTCATCTGTTTATTTATCACTCAAACTTTCGGTATTCACATTGATTGAAAAATAATAGCTAATAGATTAACGATTAAAAGCCATCGTGAAAGAATCAGTGGCCTGTGGTTAATGGATCACTAAAACGAATCAAAACTAAATTCACCACAATTAGCATGTTGGCACCTCCCATACATTTCTTTCTTCTTTTTTTTAAAAGTGTGACTAACGTGTTGTAGCGCCATCTTGACTGTGGCCCTTCATTTATCTACTGATCAAAACTGGTTTGTGTATCACGTCTGCAGGGTGAAGGTGGGCGGAGCCACGTCTTTTGTCATTGGCTCTCCAACTTGATAATTCCATCACTTTGATTTTTTTTTTTTTCTCTGACTTGTTGTTACATAACATGCACCAAAACCATACAGAAGTCAGAGGTCATGCGTACTTGTGAGTCGTGTGACTCCGGTTCTCTTAAATCCCTGGAATCTCAATGACCAATCATTGTTTTGAGTTTACTAGAGAAAATTAGTCACTGTAATTACTTTGGCATTCCAGTTATTTCTGTCGCTTAGTCTCACTACAGTGAGCAGAGTAGGTGTGAAACACAGCGAGTTCGTACAGTGTACAAGGACAGGATGAAAGGTGTGAGCGAACGAAACTGGTGAATGAAAAATGACTTGTCAGCGTGTGGGTGGAAACAGCTTCTGTTTGTCCCGTTCATTCACTGCAGCGGCACAATATAAACAATATTTGACTCAGCACAGGTTCTTTAGTGCAACAAATATTTTTGTATTGCACAAAGATGCAAGAAGTAAAATGGACTTTTAAGAATTTTAATGTATTAGTTTCATTTTTGCAATATAATTTTTATAGAATGTAGAACACAAAATATTGAAATGGTCAGTTCTGGTATCAATATTGGCTACAAATAAAAATTCTATTCGTACTTTGAAAGTTCTTCTTGATATCCTTTTGCCTCCTGTTTTTTTTTAAAATCTTTTTTTATTTTTGCTGCTCTCAGAAATGACTAGAGGATGTTTGTTTCCCATGGTGACCATTGGTAGTTGGGACACGGCGTGCTCGTCCCACCTCACTGTTATAATGGTAGACTCCTCATCTGGTTTGTTTGTCGACCTCACTGTTAGTCATAACGGTAGACTCCTCATCTGGTTTGTTTGTCGATGATGTCCAACCTCATTTTATTAGAGCAGAGCAGCTGCAGCTCTTCGTGGTTTCCCTTATCATTTCTAAAGAAGAATAAATTAGTTCTTGCGTGCAGTGCACAGACAGTACATCAGTGGCCGGCTGTTGACTGCGATCTAATCATACCTATTCCTGGACACATGCGAAGAGTCATGTGGAGCTGATAAGCCCTAATAACACTGTGTACCCATTTACACGGCCTTGACTGTAACCGACGATATGGACTGAGAGTTTTAGGCTAAACTTTCATCCAGGAATTCAGGAAATATTCATGCACGTATGTTTAAGAAGCTAAAGTTGAAACTTTTTTTCAGTTTGTTTGTTAATTGAAAATATCACTTAAAGGTTCATTGACAAAATGTGTGTGTGACGCGGTGGCCTCCACGTGTTTGTACCGTGGTGTAGTAGAAGCTGTGGTAGAACACAGCCTGTAATTATCGTAGCGTTGTTTGGTGGAGAACCAGTGTTTCAGTGTGGACGTTGTTTATCTACAATCTCTGGTCTCACATACCTGAGTAATAGGCTGTTGGCAAAAGGTGGAGGTGGAGTTGCAGGTGGGGAGGGGGATGGATGAAGGAGGAGGGGGCTGTAGCAAGAAATTCATTCCTTTCATTCTTTGAATAGTGAAGCCCTTTTTTTTTTCCTCAACTTAACCTTAAAGGCTTGAATTCTTTGAATTCCTTCTTTCTTCTTTTCCACCTGGTCCACGGCGCTGGTCCGACTGAGGCGACTCACCTGTGGGCTGTGGAGAATGTGGTGACATCTGTAGCACTGACGGTGGTGGCGAGCGCCGACCAACCGCACGTGTACTCCATTCTTACTCAGCCGTTCAGTCATTATTACATCAGGCTCTGGCACGTCTCACCGTTGCACCGCTCTGTCCTCCTCGTAGTACGGAGTTGTGGCGGAAAGTGTGACGGCGTGTGGAGTTTCTTTACTATTAGGAGAGCTGTGAGCTCAGCCCTGAGCAGGGTGTGGTCTGCAGAGGACGGAGCACAGACTCCATTTTCCCTCCCTTTTTTTTCTCTTCCCTTTTCTTCCCGCAGTGTGACTGTGATTATGAAACAGACTGGCTCAGGTCCAGGTCCAGCCCTGCTCTGGGCCCACTGAGGCCAGACTGGCTCTGTCGGTGTGTTTGCATGACGTTAGGAGAAGCTATCGTGTTAAGCTCCTCACAAATTAAGAAGTCATGCAGAATTATTAGCTTCCTTGAGGTCAGACTGAAACACAGATGAAGTATTTGACAGTGAAATAAACCTCGATGTGTACTTTTACTACGACTCTTGACTGTCTGTCTGAGAGGGGGAGGGGCAAATATCTTGTGGGTTTTCAAAAACAATAGTGGCGGCTGTACAAATGTGAGTTCAGTCGGTGTCCTTTTGTATACGACTGAATTATAACAACCTCAGACGTTGGTTGATTAACGCCAGGTTGAGATCCTTTTGGGTGTTTTATTATTTAAGAGTGGGGTGCCCAACCCCTGGTCTGTGGACCAGTACTGGTCCGTGGGTCTCTAAGTGCCCAGGTAGTTGTAGAAAAAGTAAATACTTCACTTAAGGAAATTCTGGTTGTTTTCTTCGTGTAAAGCTAATTCTGCATTTTAATAAAGCCGTAAAAATGCTTTATTTTGAAATAACTTAGTGATGGTTTGTCTCTTCCTAATACAGTGTTTCCCCAACCATTTTTACACCACGGCACATGCGCTGGTGCCTGTTTAGTTGAACACAATGCTTGATATACCTTCAGGAATTGAAGAATGAAACACAGGATGAAAATCCTCTTTATTCCCGGATGTCGTCTCTATAGTAACTCGTCGCCTCGTCTGGCTCCAGTAAACACGTGTGTTGGATCATCTCGAAGACTCGGCCGTGCACAGCTGTAAGAGGGGACAGTTGTGGTTTAATTTCAGAGGCAGCCGACTTCAAGCCCCTCAATTTCCTGTGGACTGAACACCAGGGGTGTGTCTTTGTTTACTATCTGAGAATCTGCAGCTCAGTCCACTCTGTCCCCGTGGTTGGATTCTTTTTTGTTTTTTTACTGACTCTGTCCTTGTTGGTCACATGTTCAGCATGGTCCTGGTCTGTAGACCATGGTTCATAGAGGACTTGGACTTGGATGTTTTTCAAGGCTCTCAGTGTTCACTTAACATTTGCTGCAGAGAAAAAGAAACCTGGTTGTAATTTTCACACACAGAAGTGAAAGTGAAGGAATATTAAAAAAAAAAAATTAAATACTTGTTCTTAATGTGGCAATCTGGTTCATACTTTCACTTCCTGTTCTTCCTGACTGACTGCAGATCTACTGAAGTGGAGACTCACTGTCTCAACCAATGTAAATGTAGTGTTGTCTTAGCTGATGTTGTGCAAACACACACCCACACACACACCCACACACACACCGACAACAATTGTGTGTCAGCCGGGTCTTTTGAAGCCACTTTCTGATTACACTGCCCTGGGGTCAAAAACCAGTCACACAGACCTGGATCTGAGCCCGACTGACACAGAACCACCCGGCTGAACGTGTTCCCTCGTTCTCCTGTAGAAAGCCACCAGGAAAACGGACAAGGTTCTGCTGGAGGAGCTGGACGTGACCATGCTGACCGACGAGGGCCTGAGGGACGAGCTGCTGAAGCACGGTGTGGATGTGGGTCCAGTCGTGGGTGAGTGCCACATGTCAACATGAGCAGCATCTGGTGTTACGTCAGAGGTACTGCCTGTACGCGGGCCCCACTGTGGTGTGTGGGTGCCACACAGAGGTGATAAAATTTACAACACTTTGACAGGTTAGCTGAGAGTACTTCACAGTATTATGTTGGTCACTAGTACTACATAACAACAGTCGGATGTCTGTATTTGATAAGGGTGTAAGGAAATATCGATACACTGAAATATCACGATATTTCAGTGGATTGATATTCTACACTGTATCGATTTTTTTTGTTTTTAATTAACAATTACCAGTCAAATATTCATGATGTTGGTTCATTTTATTAAGACAGTGATGTCATTTAAAAAAATATATTATATTACATTATATAAATAATTTAATTTACTATACAAAATAAATAAATTCGTAACCTGAATGTTAACATGGTCGGATCATTTTTGCTTAGGCTTTTATTGGGCGTTACAAAAACATTTTCTTAATCGTTATTTTCTCATTTTTCTATTGTTTTGTGAAAAGCGCTAACTGTGTTGTCGTCGTTCTGTGATGTCACTGTTCTATGTTGTCACTGTTCTGTGATGTCACTGTTCTGTGGTTCTAACACCCACTCTCGTCTCAGCCTCCACACGTAAACTGTACGAGAAGAAGCTGCAGAAGCTGCTGGACAACGGACCCCTGCCCACTTTAGTCCCAGTGGTGGTCCTCACCGAAGCACAGGTCAACCACAATGGTCACTCGGAGTCCGACCTGTACAGTGACAAAGAGGACGGTAATATATACACACACCGAGTATTGTACCAAACCAAAATGAATGAAGTTATTATAAAACTGTTATTTGATATTTGACTATGAAAGTTTTTAAAAAGTGACTTTAGAGCTGATTTAACTGCATGACTACTATTGAATACTTACTGGTTCCAAACCTGTGGACATGTCATATGTTCCAGTGGGTACTAAAAAGTACCCAATGACCAGCAAGTTATCAAAAAATAAACCGATTCAACAAACACATTTAGTCGTCATTTAAAAAAGAAAGTGTTAAAATAGTGAGTCTTTAGATGCATGTGTGTCAGGAGCACTGGTATGAGGTGTAACAGAATGTGTGACGTGTAATGGAACAGGATACTGCGTACAGTGCAGTACACAGGTATGTGAGGACTACACCAGGTGAAGGGTGGAGGGAGTGACACTGACTGACTGTCACCTGTTCATCTGTGGGAGTTTCTTCACTTCATACACGGTGACCAATGAGAAACAGCAGTATTGTGAACGATGGTGTGAATTGTGTTTTGTCAGACGTGATAACTCCCCCGGAACCAGCGCCTGTACCAGAGCCAGAACCTGAACCTGAACCTGAACTTGAACCAACTCCCGTGGTGGAACGACCTCTGAGGAGTCGAGGGAAGACGCCCGTCACGACCCGCACCCGCAGCAATCAACGCCAAACTACGGTAACGAAATAAATACTTGCTCTGCTGTTTACTCCAGAACTGGACCAATCACAGTGTGACACATAAACACACAGGTGGCATTTCAGCCAACTGTATTTGGTGACCAGGCACTGAAATAAAATGAAATCACGCGTAGAAATCACAAGTTGTACTCAAAATTGTAGACTCCAGTCGCAGGCCGGACTGGACAATTCGGTGGGCGAAATTCTCCCCACGGGCCATCAGTTGATGACCAATACCTTAGAGAATAATACTAAAGTGTTGGGGGTTTTTTTTGTCCGACTTTGGAAAACCAAAAAACGTTCATGACGTTGAAACCTATCGATGGCGTTGTCGTCCGTTCCCAACAAAGTCTGGCTTTAATTATGTCGTTTCCTGCGACAGCAGGAAAGGAAACGTTTTTTCATTTTATTGGTCTACGGTCACTCCCAGCTCAGTGTGAGCTTTTAGAGTCAGTGTATTAGCGCTGCTCACCCTGTGCACATGATGTGGATTTGCTGCTGCCATGCATGTGCTGGGTACTTTGGACGTCTGCGTCCAGCAGCCAGACCTGTGTCTTCCTCCTCGTCCTCGTCCTCTGGCTGGTTCTTGTCTCTTCATGCTTTGGCCACTGAGAAAAAAAAACACCCTTCACTTAGAGGTGTTGAATACTTGATTCATGGTCTCTGGAGAGAAGAGGAATGTGAATGTCCACCATCAAAGGTGTTTTGTTGACTCTCAGTGGCTCCACCTGCTGTTCAGATGGTCAATATTTCACCTTGTTGAGATTTGGCCTGAAGGCATTGGAGGCACGTGGACTTCATGGAGTGTCAGTATTAAGGCACTTTGTAAAAAAAAAAAGTTTGAGCACGTGTTCCACTGACAGCAGCTTTACCACAATCATCATCTCTCACTTTTTAAAATTTGCATTTTGTCCGCCGGGCATTATTCTGTCATCCTCATTTGCATCTGCTCCGCTGGTCGGTTCATTTCAGACCTGAACTCTGCTTCACCTTGTCTGAACAAGTCCAGGTCGCTGTAACGGCTTCTTATGTTCTCTCACATGTGCATTTTTGTCCATCTGACCTGCTGCTTCCAATCTGCTAATCTGTTTGAGATGACTACCGTGACTTCTGGGAGACACGGGTCACGTGTGATCTGCACCTGAGGGGGAAGGGTCCGGGGGGGGGGCACATGGAGGCCTCCATCCTGAGACTGTGGTGATGAAGAGCTAACACATGGTCACCACAAGTTTTCTGTGTAGATTTAGAAGAGAAATAAGAAATCCATACATATATGTACATATGTATGTGTGTGTATATATACATATATGTATGGATTATATATGTACATATACGTATGGATTATATATATATATATGAAGTACTACTACTTCTTGAATCAATACTACTACTACTACAACAATACTATTGTTGAATCAATATTACAATTGCAATAAGAACAAAATTCAACAAAAAATCCTATTTGTTGCCCAGCAGACAATAAAGACAGCCAAAATAAAAAACAAACATATATTTTATGGTCAGTTATGTTTAGTGTAGTTTATTTCCCCCTTTTTTTTTTATCTCTTCCTCATCCCCTGACACTTGGCTCTCAGAGACACGTGTCTGAACACTGCATGATCACGAGGGCCTGACTCCTCCAGCAGTTTCTAAGTTGCATCTGTGAATTGATGAGTTGTGTGGAGCAGCCGTCCGGGGCTTCTGCTGCGACGGTTGTTGTACAGCAGCTGAACTGCAGCTCAGCTCAGCAGGAGTGACGTCCGCTGTCTGTCAGCAGGAGCGTGGCCCTGCAGACGTCCAGCTGTCCGGCTGGAGGCAGCAGAAAATCACCAAATTCCTGCATGCACACAGTCCACCGAGGACTCCATGTTCAACCTCCACACTGTTGGTGCCCCAGGTAGACCGCTGCACAGCCGAGGGTCTGAGTGTCTGGTGTTTTGTTTTGAGGTTTTTTTATTACTTTTAATCTGAAAAAAGTGAAATGAAAAGTCTTCATTAAGCCTTGTTTTTTTGTTTGTGTTTTTTTTTTCATTCTCCGCAGGTGGAGAAGATCACAGCCAGCGAGCAAAACACCAAAGTAATAGAGAAGGATGTTCTGAAGGAACTGTTCCCCATTGAGTTCAACACTCCAACAGGAATATCGTAAGATCTTTAATTTTTCTTTATTGAAGCAAGTGATTATTATTATTTATTTTTGCATCACTAGTCCTGACTGTAAACATGAACTATCCCTTTATTGCTACCTTCTTGTCACTACATCTACATCCTGCTCGCTCTCTTCTAAAGTCTGGGATTCCTTAGCTTTAACCATGTTGACCAACCCTGCTCTAAAATCTCTCTCCTGCAGCGCCACCTGTCGGCGACCCATCAAGGGCGCAGCTGGTCGACCCTTACAGCCCAGCGACCTGTGGAACAACGAAAACAGCCTGTTCTCTCCAAAGATCACCAGCAGGACCAGCAGCTCCTCCTCTTCCTACACAGAGAGCCGCATTGTCAACAAAGTCACCAGCCTGCCCCCCTCACACACCTCCTCCTCTTCCCTCTCCTCTTCCTCTTCCCTCGCCTCTTCCTCCAGGCTTCTGTCAGCTACTCCCCCTGCAGGTCAGACCAAAGCAGCGCGCCGTGGCATGTCCCTGTGGGTCAAGCTGTTCCTGCTGGCCATCGTGGCGGCGTTCTTGTTCTTTGTCTACCAGGCCATGGAGAGCAACAGCATCAACCCTTTCCTCAGCGCAGACAAAGATGTGTCCAGTGGCAGCGCAGCATAGAGAGGGTGGAAATCACCCCAGCTCCTCATTGTTTTTTTTTTTGTTTTCTTTTTGTTTTTTTTTAAAGTGCGTCTGAATGGTCGCCGTTGTCACGGGTGCTGTGAAGTTAACGTTTGACGTCATCATTCATCTGTAATTTAGTTTTTGTTTTGTTTTTTCATTCCTGTTTCATACTTTACTGTTAACCAAATCCATTAGGAGACTTGGTGAATCAGCGTCTGTGACACTACACAGGATCTACATGACACGTGAAAGGACAGTACCTCCTCCGCTCTTGTCGTTTCGGTCCAACGTCGACCTCTGACCTTTTGGCGTCACCGTCTGTGAGGTCAAAACAAATCCAGTCGTGAAATCATGTGGACTCTTTTATTACCAGATTTATTTTTTAAGGCCAGACATGGTGTGACTGCATGAGTGTGCAAGTGTTTGTGTGAATGAGTAAAAAATATTTTTGAACTTTTTTTTTTCTTCTGTATTTTTGTTCCCACTCTGCCTTAGCTTCTGTCTCTGTCATTTTAAGATCCTGCAGATGGAATTTTAATGTTTCATGTTTTGTACTTGACTATCTTTGTTATTGAGACATAGAGGCTTCTCCTTGTAACCAAATGCTTCTAAATCTTCTTAAACTCTTTTTGCCAATATTTTCTTAATGTTCTCTTATAATAAAAATTAAATGTTCCAGTGTATCTTTTCAATTATGTCATGTATTTACTGTCTCAATAAACATCTACTTAATAAACTTCTGTTGTCACTGTGGCTAAGAAGCGTGTCATTTTTTTGCAGAGCGCTCCACAGGAAATTGCTAACATTTTATTCGTTTACAGAGAAAATTACTCGCCTACCAGTCGAAATGACAAGCCATGGTTTTTAAAAAAAAAAAAATTTAATGGATAATGACCTGCTGGCTCAGGAATTTCTAGAATAAAGGTCAGCCCGTAGCTTGTCCTTGTCCCTTTGACACATAAAGGTGTCCAGTAAGGCTCGAAATGTTTCATAAGCTCTCTGTTGAAGTTTCAATTATTTACCTTAAAGTTTCTTTTGTTTTACAGGAAGACTAAATCGTATTCTTGGCCAAGAATGAAGACTTCACTCCTGAGTTCAAGTATTTCGTACTTGACTAAGTCCCACCTCCAAGGGAAGAGACTCACTCTATGATTTGCTAAGAAGATATTGACTGACAGCACCGCGGTGCAACCTTATTGCATGAAACAGCACGGAGACCCGCCCGGACTTTGCTGTGACGTCACGAAAGGACAAATCTTTATACCGCGAGGTCATTCGGCCTCTCTGAGTGGCCGGTTACAGGGAAACGGCGTCGCCATCTTGAGGCACGAACCTAGTGAGTGTGTATCTACTTAAAAAATAAAGTATATGAGATAAAAAAATCAATGTGAAAATCAGCTAACGTTACTGCGAAGGTATACTTTTTCAAAATCTTTAATTGTTTCCAGTGCGAACGTTTTCATAGTCGGACTAAGACCTCGCGTCTTGAACCGACGACGTTAGCCTAGCGTGCTAAATAGCATAGCATTTTAGCGTCCATACAGAAAACCGGAAGTTTTTTAAATGTGTAGAAACCCTACTGATATTAAGGGTATAAGCACTTCAGTATTACTTGTACAATAATTGTACGACCACCACTGTGGCGTGACATTTGTGCTATGTGCTTAAATGTGTTTGTCCTTTTCACTGTCATTCAGTCATGAAGCTAAGATGCTAACCAGCACGTGACATCGCGTTCCTAAGTTCAGATGTTGACGTATGTGTGCGTGTGTCGGTCTGGGGGAGTGGATTGTGTTACCATCCTGAGCTAGCTCAGCGCTAACTGGTATCTCACTTTGCCGCATCTGCGACAACAGGCAGGACACCATCATGTACCCGTCATCTCTAACACTGCTCGCCCGGGCTAATCCGTTCAGCTCCCCTCTGTTCAGCCTCCAGAAGGTGGAAGAACCGCAACAACCTCTCCATGGACAGAGGACCCGCAGACTTGCAGCAGCAGCCGCTGCAGAAGGTAACCCCGGCACAGAGTCGATAGCCCGGCTTCATAGCAAGCGCCAGCGGCGTTAGCTCATCCGGCGAGATTGCGGTCGATTTACAGTGCATAATCTGGCATAACATTGTCTAGAAAGTGATTGCTGGAGAACTGCACTCATTTGTTAATCCCATTTGAAAGCCGTGTAGGTTAAAGGACAATGTTAAGAGATGGCGCTAGCTTCAAGGCCTCATTGGAAGCGGTGCCTCAGTGGAGGACAAGGAAGGACAAAGCAGTATTTTGCCCTCTCACAGTTGTACGGTTGACTCTGCTCCATGGTACTTTGTTGGAATGAATACATTTTAGCACAATCATTAAAATGAAGTTGTGAATAAATGAATTCAAAGGAGTTACATAACTTCAAACAACCCCTGCAGTGACCCCTGTCTGAACTTTAAGAAGTGACCAGGAACAAATTGTTCTATCTTTAAACAGTTATGGTTTGATTAATAAACAGTTCTCTGGTGCCATTGTGGTATTTTAGCTTATTGTCAAATATTTATTTATTTAATTAAATCAGCCCTATTTATCTTGAGCAGTCCAGGTGTTTTTTCAACAACTGACTTCACCTCCAGACTGCTGTCTCTTTAACTAAATTTGGAGTTGGCCATTTTGCAGAAATAACTGCAGTATTTTGAAAGTACTGTTTGGTTTGTTTCCAGCTCCCATGGGTTTAACACCAACAATAAGCAGTAAATTTAAGTTGCCTTTGTCATTTGGGAGTGGATCAAGTTTGGCCAGTGGTTTGTTTTTCTGTTAGGAGTGATGCGCCTAAGTGAGTAATGTTTATTTTGTCTACTTAATTTTGAAGAAGGAAAAAAAAAATTGACATCGGCAGCAAACCCTTCTCTCCTTCCTGCCCATACATGCCCAGTTTTTAAAACCATGGCTTTGTTTCTTCAGAGGGCAACAGTTGTGAGTTCGGATCTCAGAAGTATTTCATCCTGTGTGGCTTTGGTGGGATTCTGAGCTGTGGTACCACACACACAGCTGTCGTTCCCCTTGACTTGGTCAAATGCAGATTGCAGGTCTGTTTCCATGGCCCGGAGCCAATTTTTTAAACGTCGTATCCCGCCTCTCCATAACCCGTTGTGTTTTTTTTTTTTTTTTGTTAACGCATCGATTTGCATGAAGAAATTCTGCCAACCCATTTGTGAAGTTTTTTTTTTTTTTTGTATATAAATCCTTGTGATTTCCAAACTTTTGAGTGATCACAAGTTGGGTCCTACAGTTCTGCACCGGTGTCTAATGATTGTCTGCCTGTGACCGTGTCCACAGCAGAGGACACTTAAAGGTGAAGGTCAAATGTCAAATCCGATGGAGCACAAATGTTGAATGTTTACTGTGATATTTGACACCAGTGGGGTTGACTGTGTCATGACGGCCTCACGGTGGACTGACACAGACTGCCATGTAACGTAGCCTTCTTTTTGAGATTTGTTTCATAATGAACTGATTTAAGACAAGACATGTTTTTATGGATCATTCGTACGACCTTTGATTTGTGCGAATCTCAGTTTTGTGACCACACGAAGGGGTTTGTATTTGAGTCAATCACTACAGTGTACAGTTGACCCTCGACACGGGAACGACCGCCGTCTTGTTTTGCAGCTTCTTAATGTACATTTTAGAAATGACCCCAGTAAGGTCTCAAAAGTTGCTTTAAAAAGGATCAACGGTCGTTATACTGTAGTGAATGATTTAACATGTAAACCCCCACTGTGGCTTTTTAAAAATGATTTTACAGAAATCACATTCACAATGTTTTATTTTTTGTAATGAACTTTTGGTGTGATCCTAATAATATGGTGGCATGTTTGTGGCAGAGCCACCTATAAGGAAGAGTTCTCTCTTCTGACAACTCTTCGTTATGTGGTTCTGGTTCAGTGATGATTTTTGTTGTCGCATGTCACCCTGCATGTTGCATGTGTGTTGTGTCCCCCCTCCCCCCCCTTCTACCACAGAGGATGTGAGCTGCGAGTTTGGCTCCTCAAAGTACTATGCCCTATGTGGGTTTGGGGGTATCCTGAGCTGCGGTATCACACACACAGCAGTCGTGCCCCTCGATCTTGTCAAGTGTCGTCTTCAGGTTTGTATAAAAAGCTGAACCTAGACCTCGGCAACAGATAAACCGACAGCCTGTCCAGTAGGGGTGTAAGAAAATATCCATACACTGAAATATGACAATATTTCATTTCATGATAGTGTATTAATATTCCTCTTTTTATCACCAATTCCCAGTCAAATTCCTGGTGTTGGTTCGTTTTATTTTTCTTTAATTTTTTTCTCTAATGATTCCAAATGCAGATCCCTCTGTTCATATATTCATGCCTATAGTATGGCTGTATATCACAATATATTGCTTTTTTTCCCCCCTTTATTGTGATGCATCTCATATCACCAGATTCTGGCCAATACACACCCCTACTGTCCAGCAGTTTAATGCAGGATTTGAAACAGTTTTCACTATTAAATAGGCAGTTTAGAGCAGTGTATTTAAACACTTAATCCTTAAAACATATTTATAACCAAAACAGGAAATTCAATTTCTAATTAGTGAATTTTTCCCACTGTGGAAACAGGGGTCTAACGCCCCGCCCCCATCATGTTGAGAACCACTGATTCAGAGATTGATTATATTAGAACCCCTATACCATTCATCATTAAAAATGAATGTAGTATCTACAAGAAACTATGCAAATTTTTATTTTTATACACTTTATTTATTCTGGACAAAATTCTTAAACAGTAAAAAGTATAAACAGCTCTTCCTGATATTCTATGAGAGGGTTTCTTTTTTTAAACTGTTGACTTGCGTGCTCACTGGAGTATTTCTGTTACCAGGTGAGCCCAGATAAATACAAGAGCATCGGTAACGGCTTCGCAGTGACAATAAGGGAAGATGGCGTCAGGGGACTGGCCAAGGGCTGGGCCCCCACCTTCATCGGCTACTCCATGCAGGGACTGTGCAAGTTTGGCTTCTATGAAGTGTTCAAGGTCTTCTACAGTGATCTCCTGGGAGAGGTGAGGTCCACAGAGATGTGGACTTAAAGTATTTCTTATTGAACCAATGTTAGTCCAGTTTTTTAAAAACCCTCTGACCTTTTGTCGATGGTTGACATCATCAGGAGAATACCTACCTCTGGAGGACATCGCTGTACCTGGCTGCCTCAGCCAGCGCAGAGTTCTTCGCCGACATCGCTCTGGCTCCCATGGAGGCAGTCAAGGTTCGTGTCCAGACCCAGCCAGGCTACGCTAACACTCTCAGACAGGCCTTGCCCAAGATGTACGCAGAGGAAGGAATCTGGGCGTAAGTGTTCACTTCCTCTTTCTTCTAAAAAAGAAAAAAAAAAGGATGATTTATGTGACAACACGCTCCTTAGATCCACCTCTGGAGGGCGCTGTTCTCTGAGCAGCGTTCCTCAGCAGCTTTGCGGCTGTACAGTTGGAGGTGCTTGAGTCATTGGCGTGTGAGAACAGTCCACCTGTCCTCCCAGCTCATCTGCTGCACTGGCCGTCCTGTCCTCTACGGACAGGAAGTTCCCAGTGCAGCTCAACCTGGGAGACGGACATAACAAACAAACCAACAAAGAGTGACATTTACGATTAGCCTTCAGTCGACCCAGATCATAACATTTCTGTTGTTTCTCCAGATTCTACAAGGGTGTGGTTCCCCTGTGGATGAGACAGATCCCCTACACCATGATGAAGTTCGCCTGCTTCGAGCGCACAGTGGAGATGCTGTACAAGTACGTCGTTCCCAAGCCCCGCAGCGACTGCAGCAAATCTGAGCAGCTGGTTGTCACATTTGTGGCCGGTTACATTGGTGAGTATCAGAGACATCATCATCCAATACCGTACGTCTTCTTGTTGACATTAACCTGCCTCTGTATTAATTAATGATGACGGTTAACGGGGCTCCAGACTAATGTCTGTGGGACATAAAAAAATGCACACGGGAAGATGATTAATAGCCCCGGGACGCGGACGAGAATTCTTTGTGCACTGAATATGCGCACTGTCGCTCGCTACGTGAACGTCAACGAAACAATAGACAGAATTGCGGTGATATCAGAAGAACACAGCGCTGCGACGTTACGTATTTGATGATCGTGCTCCAGATTTTTAGAAAAGATAAACCCCTGAGGGAGAAGGAAAAAAAAATGGCGGTCCGGTGCTAATTCAACTACAAAGTTGAAGGTGAGTATCTTATTAAATCTCTGAGTATCTCGTTAATCAGCAGCAGATTTATCTATCGAGGAAGTGGAGATACAGCTCCTCTGTCTCTCATGAACAGACTGGAAGTGTCTCACACATGCAGTAGTGTTAGTTTTTTCTTACACACTTTTTAAAATAAACCGTATTAACGGAGAATACATTTATTCCTAATTAATCCCCATCCTCTGAGTATTGTGTTTTATGGCGCTATACATGTCAGAGCTGAAGTTAAGAATCGGGACAAAATTCTTTTTGGGACGGTTCAAATTATATTTGCGGACGATTCCGAGACGGTGGTTAAAAAATTGTAGTCTGGAGCCTTGTCGCTTAAACTTGTTGTCAGCCACAGTGTTAATGGTTCCTTTCTCTCTCTTTCTCTCTGTGAAGCTGGTGTGTTCTGCGCCATCGTGTCCCACCCTGCTGACTCCGTTGTGTCTGTGCTGAACAAGGAGAAGGGCAGCACCGCAGTCCAGGTCCTCAAGAAGCTCGGACCCAAAGGTCAGTATATTTACTGCAACTCAAAGCCTTCAGTGTTTGTGTTTGTCCAACACGCTCCTTAGATCCACCTCTGGAGGGCGCTGTTCTCTGAGCAGAGTTCCTCAGCAGCTTTGCGGCTGTACAGTTGGAGGTGCTTGAGTCATTGGCGTGTGAGAACAGTCCACCTGTCCTCCCAGCTCATCTGCTGCACTGGCCGTCCTGTCCTCTACGGACAGGAAGTTCCCAGTGCAGCTCAACCTGGGAGACGGACATTCAACTGACTGGAATGATGTGTGAAGTCTATGTAAATGATCAGGGTTTGTTTTAGAGATGTAGACTTTGAGTTTGACTTTACTCTAGTTAGACCAGACTGAATATTTTAGTCGGCTGAAATTTTTGATTTCTTCGTATAAATAAATATTTTATTTTCAACAAACTTTCTACCCCTTTTCTGGTAACTAGTTGTGTATTGGCAATGTATCACGATACGGGGAAACGATACAATATATTACGATGCTATATGTAAGACGATATATTGAAGGTTTTTTGGGGTTTTTTTCCCCTTCCTGTTTGTGCCTCTATGAAGCTGAGGGATATTGATATCGTTAATTCTTGTTAATTTTCAAAATAAAACATATCTTAGACTTCATCCTGTTTGTATTGGAGCCTGAAGGATGAATTATTTTGAAATATCTGCAGAATATCTTCCAGTGAATGAAGTCAATGAAAACTAAAAACCTTTCTGTCCTCCAGGTGTGTGGAAGGGTCTGGTTGCCCGTATCATCATGATCGGTACGCTGACCGCCCTGCAGTGGTTCATCTACGACTCTGTGAAGGTCTACTTCCGTCTGCCCCGCCCTCCTCCCCCCGAGATGCCAGAGTCCCTGAAGAAGAAGCTGGGCCTCACAGAGTAACGTGACGGGTTCTGTCCTTCATTCCTTCACTGAGCCTCAGCCCACAGTCGACTCCTCTGAACCTCACTACTCTGATCCACAGCACTCACACACACACAGAGCAGTTTTCTACACTGTATTTATGTCGTCAGCTCAGAACACTGAGCGGCTGCAGCTCATGTTTATTTAAAAAAACAAAAAAAGAATTAAAACATCACAGGTGTGGTGATGGGGCTGTGGCTCTAGGCTTTAACAAAGGAGAATAACCCTAACCCTAAGTCGCTCGCTACATGAACGTCAACGAAACAATAGACAGAATTGCGGTGATATCAGAAGAACACAGCGCTGCGACGTTACGTATTTGATGATCGTGCTCCAGATTTTTAGAAAAGATAAACCTCTGAGGGAGAAAGGAAAAAAAAAAATGGAGGTCCGGTGCTAATTCAACTACAAAGTTGAAGGTGAGTATCTTATTAAATCTCTGAGTATCTCGTTAATCAGCAGCAGATTTATCTATCGAGGAAGTGGAGATACAGCTCCTCTGTCTCTCATGAACAGACTGGAAGTGTCTCACACATGCAGTAGTGTTAGTTTTTTCTTACACACTTTTTAAAATAAACCGTATTAACGGAGAATACATTTATTCCTAATTAATCCCCATCCTCTGAGTATTGTGTTTTATGGCGCTATACATGTCAGAGCTGAAGTTAAGAATCGGGACAAAATTCTTTTTGGGACGGTTCAAATTATATTTGCGGACGATTCCGAGACGGTGGTTAAAAAATTGTAGTCTGGAGCCTTGTCGCTTAAACTTGTTGTCAGCCACAGTGTTAATGGTTCCTTTCTCTCTCTTTCTCTCTGTGAAGCTGGTGTGTTCTGCGCCATCGTGTCCCACCCTGCTGACTCCGTTGTGTCTGTGCTGAACAAGGAGAAGGGCAGCACCGCAGTCCAGGTCCTCAAGAAGCTCGGACCCAAAGGTCAGTATATTTACTGCAACTCAAAGCCTTCAGTGTTTGTGTTTGTCCAACACGCTCCTTAGATCCACCTCTGGAGGGCGCTGTTCTCTGAGCAGAGTTCCTCAGCAGCTTTGCGGCTGTACAGTTGGAGGTGCTTGAGTCATTGGCGTGTGAGAACAGTCCACCTGTCCTCCCAGCTCATCTGCTGCACTGGCCGTCCTGTCCTCTACGGACAGGAAGTTCCCAGTGCAGCTCAACCTGGGAGACGGACATTCAACTGACTGGAATGATGTGTGAAGTCTATGTAAATGATCAGGGTTTGTTTTAGAGATGTAGACTTTGAGTTTGACTTTACTCTAGTTAGACCAGACTGAATATTTTAGTCGGCTGAAATTTTTGATTTCTTCGTATAAATAAATATTTTATTTTCAACAAACTTTCTACCCCTTTTCTGGTAACTAGTTGTGTATTGGCAATGTATCACGATACGGGGAAACGATACAATATATTACGATGCTATATGTAAGACGATATATTGAAGGTTTTTTGGGGTTTTTTTCCCCTTCCTGTTTGTGCCTCTATGAAGCTGAGGGATATTGATATCGTTAATTCTTGTTAATTTTCAAAATAAAACATATCTTAGACTTCATCCTGTTTGTATTGGAGCCTGAAGGATGAATTATTTTGAAATATCTGCAGAATATCTTCCAGTGAATGAAGTCAATGAAAACTAAAAACCTTTCTGTCCTCCAGGTGTGTGGAAGGGTCTGGTTGCCCGTATCATCATGATCGGTACGCTGACCGCCCTGCAGTGGTTCATCTACGACTCTGTGAAGGTCTACTTCCGTCTGCCCCGCCCTCCTCCCCCCGAGATGCCAGAGTCCCTGAAGAAGAAGCTGGGCCTCACAGAGTAACGTGACGGGTTCTGTCCTTCATTCCTTCACTGAGCCTCAGCCCACAGTCGACTCCTCTGAACCTCACTACTCTGATCCACAGCACTCACACACACACAGAGCAGTTTTCTACACTGTATTTATGTCGTCAGCTCAGAACACTGAGCGGCTGCAGCTCATGTTTATTTAAAAAAACAAAAAAAGAATTAAAACATCACAGGTGTGGTGATGGGGCTGTGGCTCTAGGCTTTAACAAAAGAGTCCAACATGGATGTATTCCTCTGTAGAAACCTCTGGTTTTATCAGTTTGTCGTTAGGAAATGTGGAAATGTTCTAATTAAATAAATACCCTCCAACAACTCTCTGTTCATGCTGGGGTTTTTTTTGTTTGTTTGGTTTTTTTTTAAGTATAAAGATGAAGAATAAAAATCTTTCTTACACCTGTTTTTCATAGGCTGAGTCTCAGCGTGTGGTTTTTAACACGAGCTGGAACGTCTCAGTTTAAGAAATGATGCGGTGCGGCCACAAGGTGGCGTTAGAAGGTCATTCTGTTCTATGCGTATATGTACGTGTATGAGAGTATAAATATATAAAAATGTATACACATTCGAGAGTGTGTATGCAATTTTATATAAATATATATGTATACGTCTCCATGTATACATATATGTTCGTATTAATGTAGACGCTAATAAGTAAACAGGCATATACGTGTGTGTATGTTTATATATATATGTGTGTATACACATTCTTTTACTAAAGGTAGGTCTTCCATAACATATTACCGTCATTTATTGTCATTTCACATTATTGTACATAACGTATGGAAGTCAATGGTATTCGTTTATTATCCTATTTTACGTTAATAGCACCTTTAAATATATTTACTGTTACGTGTTACATATATATATTATATATTTGTTTTGTTTGCTATATAAGGAATGTTAAGAAATTAAATGTTGGACATTTTACCGGTAAAGGTTTCCGTTCACTGAATGTGCGGGCCGTAAATAAAGTTACACATTCGCCTGTGTAAGATTTATTTACTGCTCGCACTTTCGATGACGCAGGGTTTATTTGACTAGTTTATTTCCGGTCGTGGTTTTATTTATGGACAGTACGTGTTATTGGTTCAGGCTCCTTTAGTTCTTCATGCGTCAACATTAAAAGTAATCACGAAACTACGTTCGGGAATTTCGTGTCTTTCAGCATTCCTCGAATAGTAGACTTGAATGGAAGGCATTTAACTATAACGTCTCCTCTTACTGCTTCTTTCTCACCACTAGAGGGCGGCGTCGCCTCACATTAACGGTTTTGTTACAGCAGCGACTCTTGTCAGTTGTGTTTATCAAGAAAGAATGATATATTTAAATCAGAATTCCTTAACACGACGGTAAATATTAAAACAGAAAGACAAATAACAGCAGGTAGGTGTCTGTTTCTCACTTGTCTGTGACTAATTTAAATGATAGAAAATATTAACATGGAAAAATGTCAAGAATACAATATTTTTCAACAATATAAATCAGCCCCTCACGGCTGCTTATAGATTTTGTTTTTCTTTATCAAATTTGCTGCGCGTTTAGGGCCATTTCCGTGTTTGACGACTGGATCCATGGTCCTGAACATGGACTGAAAACGAAATTTATTGATGACTTTATTGCAAATGTACGTTTGAAATTCGAATTAGTTCTACAGCTGACTATAATCCTTTAAAATCTTTTACTCGAAAAAGACAGCGCTGGGAGGCACTTTTTTGTTCTTTGTTTGAGTTCGTTGTTATTTTTGTAAATTGTTCGACACCAACAGAAAAAAAACAACGAACCGTGATCTATTTGTGAAATCGTCTCTGTCATCAGGATCCATTTGTCTGTTTTCCCTCCGCGCTGCCAAACAAACAACTAAAAGATCTCTCACCATGCCGCAGGGGCTCGCTGACAGCCCGAGGGTCATGCAAAGGGTCATGGGAAATGGAGTTCTCATCTGCGTGTTCTCCGACGCTGAGAGCACAGTGTCACTGAATAAAACATTGTCAGAGGAAGAGGCTGAGGAGAGTTTTCACCCAGGAACTTATTTACACATTAACTGTCAATGTGTGTGTGTGGGTGGGGGTGAGGTGTGGAGGAGGGGGAGTGCGTGCATCAGCTGATGGACAAACAGGTTCCATTAAGAATGTTCTCACACCAGGAACTGTCTGAACCTCAGCTTTTATTCTAACCGTCACTTTCAGATATTTTTTCTTCTGTTTTGTTTTGTTTTGTTTTGTTTTCTTCTAAAATAACTATTATTTTACCTATTTGCAGCTCCACACAGTGGCTAGTCATTGTTTTAATGCCTTGAAAAACCTAACCTTTGCCTCAGGACTGTACCGGTGATGCCCAACCACCGCGTCGTGGCACATTAAGGTGCCATCACCGGCATATATTTGACATGTATTTCACTGTGTTCACTGTGTTCTTAGCTTTGATTTCTAACTCTGTGTTGTGATTGGTCAGCTGATCAGGCTGTAAAGGGCAGTGAACGCACCAGCGCACACACAGAGTACTGTATTCACGTCACTTTGCAGGATTTAACGGAGATTAAAGTGATTATGTTTAAATGGTTCAGCTGTTCACGATAAAGTTCTGCTGAAAAACAAAGATTAAAAACTCAGGAGAAAAGTTCAGGCCACAGTTATCTCTCACCGCTGTGTAAAAAACAATGTTATTATTCAATAATAATGATGAATAATTAAATAATTACTCAGTTGTTAATACTGAAAAATTGACATTCTTTGGAGTAAGTCTGTGTATGTGTGTATATATGTGTGTGTGTGTGTGTTATGTAACACCAGGTGAACTCCGCCTTCTTCTCGGACCAGCCAATCAGACGCCTTCCTTTCCCTCCTCGCTGGCTGCCACTCGTCAGCTCGGGGCCTCTCTCGACCACAGACACAAAGGCCCTCGACGTGTCTGCCTTTCAGGCATCAGCCGTGCTGTCACCCCATTGGACGACGAGGGAGGCCGGATGGCAGCATCCTACCAGGCGTCAGCCAATTAGAGAGGCTGTTGTCATGGCCTTTATCATCACTTTGTTCGGCATGCGTGCAGCATCAGCAAGAGAGGGGGGACGGGGGGGGCGGAGGGGGGCATGTTCCTGTGCTGCAGCTGACAGTGGAACAGGGACTGGAACTGAGTCGAGTTTTAAAGATACACATGGATGGATGAACAGGTGGATGAGGATGGATGGATGGATGATGAGGATGGATGGATGAACAGGTGGATGGGTAGATGGATGGATGATGAACTGATGGATGAACAGGTGGATGAATGGATGGATGATGAGGATAAGTGCATGGATAGATGGATGGATGAACAGGTGGATGGATGGATGGATGGATGGATGGATGGATGGATGCCTGTTTTGTCTGGTCTCGGGTCTGTCTCCGTCTCTCTCTCTGGGTCTCTTAGCTCTAGTGTCTGTACCAGGACTGTTGTAGCTAACATTAGCTCTGGTGTCTGTACCAGGACTGTCGTAGCTAACGTTAGCTCTGGTGTCTGTCCCAGGACTGTTGTAGCTAACGTTAGCTCTGGTGTCTGTCCCAGGACTGTTGTAGCTAACGTTAGCTCTGGTGTCTGTACCAGGACTGTTGTAGCTAACATTAGCTCTGGTGTCTGTACCAGGACTGTCGTAGCTAACGTTAGGTCTGGTGTCTGTACCAGGACTGTTGTAGCTAACATTAGCTCTGGTGTCTGTACCAGGACTGTCGTAGCTAACGTTAGGTCTGGTGTCTGTACCAGGACTGTTGTAGCTAACATTAGCTCTGGTGTCTGTACCAGGACTGTCGTAGCTAACGTTAGGTCTGGTGTCTGTACCAGGACTGTTGTAGCTAACGTTAGCTCTGGTGTCTGTACCAGGACTTTTTTTAGCTAATGCTAGCTGTGATGTGTACCAGGACTTTTAGTCTCCATCTGTTTGTGGTTGGCAAACCAAAATTGCAGTTACATTACCGCCACCTTCTGTTTTGGAGTGTGAATTAGCTGCCATTAAATTAATTATTTTTCAACATTTTTCTCTGTTTTATATATATATATAATAATTATAATTAGAAAATATAAATAAATATATATAAATATAATATAAATAATTTCCTATTAATTTTAAAATGAATATTTATAAAATGTCTTTAAAATCAATACATTCATCATTGACTGCTGTTCTAATTCTTTTATATTTGATTCCTCTGTGGAAGAATCGACGGACTGCCCCTCTGCTCTGCTGCCCCCGGCTCTCACATGTTCGAGCCTGGTCACAGTGAAACTCCATCATCATCCACCTCCTCCTCCTCCTCCTCCTCTTCCTCCTCCTCCTCCTCCTCGTCTGTGCCACTCAGCTCCTCTCTCTGATAACGGACACCTGCCTTTTTTAGGAACATCTATAAAAACGTGAGTAAACTCTGATTTTTTTTTTTGTTTTGTTTTTTTTCAACCAGATTCTGTGTTTTCTGAATCTCATTATCTGGAGGTCTGCCGCCGCGCACACACACACACACACACACACACACACACACTGTACTGTTCACATACTATTGCGTGCCGAGCACCTCCGCAGCAATGGATGCTCAGAGTTGGGGGGGAAAAATCCGCGCAGTGAACGATAACTTTGAACGGACGTCACCGGGATTTTCTCTTCTGTTCAGATCCCACCGTTTATTGATGCATTTACTGTTTGAAATAATGATTAAATACAAACATAAAATTCTGTTTTATAAATATATATATGTGTGTGTGTATATTATATAATATTACGTAACAGATGCGGATTGTTGCAGCCTCGTTCATTCAAACGGAGAAAGTGTTGGACGTAAATGCTGTTGAAACACAATGTATCACTATGTGCACGTTAGACTGTGGTCACGTTGTGTCTGTCTGTGTGTGTGTGTGTCTGTGTGTGTCTGTCTGTGTGTCTGGGTGTGTTGGTGTGTGGCACGCAGACAAAGACTGGCAGTGAACTTGAACTTGAACTTGAACTTGAACGCACCTCAGAGTCGATCTGTTAAATCTCGTTATTATTATTTTTTATTTATAATCGTATGTGTTTTTTACTGCTGCTGCGTTCAATGACTTCCTTCACTGTGGGTTTTAAATAAACCATAATCTTATAGATCTGTTAGTGCTGACCTCGATGTGATGAGCTTTACACACACACACACACACACACACACACACACACCGAAGCCCAGACTGTTATATAACACACCCTTGCACTAAAATCACAGTAAAATCCAGATCATCTTCATCATCATCATCATCATCATCACGGTGACGGTGCTTCAGGTCCAGTCTCCCAGGTCTGCAGAGTAAAATTCTGCTGGACCTGATGTAAGTCCAGACCTGATCCTGGAACCTGGAGCCTGGAGCCTGGATCCTGGAGCCTGGAGCCTGGATCCTGGAGCCTGGAGCCTGGAGCCTGGAACCTGGAGCCCGGCTTTGTGCTGCTGAGCTGCACCATTGTTCCAGAACAAGTGCAGGACCACGAGGCGTCTGCGTCACCCCCCCCCCCCCCCCCCCCCCCCCCCCGCACATATTTTCACCTTGTCTTTGCAGCACAGGCTGCTGGTGGAGACACAGAGGAGCAGACCCGGGTTCTTCAGAACCGTTGCTGTCCCACGGACACAGACTCTGTCTGTGGTTGGCTGGTTGAAGGATCAGGCCTGTGATTGGAGGATTATCAGTTGAAATCCAAGCCCTGGCAGCTCTGTTGTTGTTCTGAGCTGACGACTACTTTTTCCCAGGTCTCCAGTCGAGGACGGCTAACGCCGGCGTTAGAAGAGAAAAATATTTGTTGTTAATGGTAAAAAAAAAAAAAAATTAAAGTGTTGTTGTTTTAAACAAAAATCGTTTGAAAATTCAGGAAAAGTTACAAATGACCAGCAGATAGAGGCAGAAAAAGTATTTTTAAAGCGTGAGAAGAAAAATTTGACTCTTCAATTTAAACAGGTTTTTAGTTTAAACTGAGTTCAAGTTCAGTTGATCCTGAATTAATGTTGATGCTGTTTTTGTGCAGCACTGGAGGGCGACAAAGAGTTCTATGATAATAATAATAATAATAACAATTGTTAATATATTCCATCCATCCATTTTCATCCGTTACCGGTTCGCGGGGGCAGCAGTCTCCACCCAAATCACACTGCACCGTACCAACCCCCCTAAACCTTCCTGCGGGTGGTGAGTCCACTGGAAGGTACCAACCGCTCTAGCCGGGATTCGAACTTGCCCAGGAGGTGAACCCTGGAGTTCTACACCAATGACAGAGACACTGCCTCTGGGCCAAAGCGCCACATTATTAATATATTTATTATTATAAATATACTGAACAGGTTGAGCCGCGTCGTCTTCACGTGGACATGTCTCTCCTGTGTCTCCTCCTCAGCTGCCGTCATGTCCTCAGTCCTGCAGAAGCTCGTCAGCCCCATGACCAGCGGCCCCGCCGAGCCCCCCAGGAACAAGGTGACGGTGGTGGGAGTGGGTCAGGTGGGCATGGCCTGTGCAGTTAGCATCCTGCTGCGGGTGAGACCCAACGACACACACACACACACACACACACACGCAGACAAGCTGAGAGTCCTGGGTTTGATTCCCAGAAGAACCACATACCTGGTGCCTCCAGGGGGCCCCAGTGTGGGGTCAGTAAAGTTGATAACATTTTTTTTTTTTAAAAAGAAGAAAGAAACCTGTTGACGACAAAATGCAACTCTGACCCATGAGGATTTGAGCAGATTTTTCTCTAAAAAGAAAATCTCTGCCAACCCTCATTCATTTTTCATTCACAATTTTCATTCCAGTTTAGTTAAAAATGTTATGTCTGCTCTGCGTTTTTTATTTCCATTTTTGAGCATTGAAAACCTGATCAACAAACTCCACACAGATGGTTCCAGAGGAACCACATACCTGGTGCCTCCAGGGGGCAGTGTGTTGCAGCAGATCTGCTATTAACACAAGAATTTCCCCAGTGTGGGGTCAATAAAGTTGATTTAATTAAAAGAAAAAAGAAGAAAGAAACACCTGTTGACGACAAGTCTGTCTTATAACTTTTTGACTCACCCATGTGGTTTTTGTGTGTTTTCCAGGACCTGTGTGACGAGCTGGCTCTCGTGGACGGGGGGGAGGACCGTGTGGATGGGGGGATGTAGTGCAGCACGGCAGCCTCTTCCTGAAGACGTCCAAGATCGTCGCTGATAAAGGTCAGGAGGTCAGGCTCTGCTGTAGTACAATGTGTACTGGTGTAGTATATTGATGTTGAGTCTCGAATACTCAGTCTTACTGTAAACAAACAACTTCCTCCACTGAGAGTGTCTGTTAACTGAGCGCTCGCAGCTTTTATGGCCCAACTGGGAATGAAACCTCAGACCTGAGTCTGTCTGACGGTCAGTGAACGCGACTCACAGCAGAGAAAATGGAAGAGGAAAAAAAAAAAGATTTTCTAAAAATTGAGTTAAAAACTACTTGTTTTATAATCACGGGAAAAACGAAGTTGTTGCGAAAGTTGTCATTTTCATTTAAAATCAGCAAAGATCAAGTGTATTACTGCCCCCTACTGGGCTGGAGTATGTGCACCTGTGTTACTGGTGTGTCATAAATGTATAATTATATTTTAAAATGTTTTTGTCTGTGACTAAATTCACATGTTAAAGACACAGCCCTAAAATACAAAATCTCCTTCTTCTTCTTCTCCCTTCCAGACTACGCAGTGACCGCCAACTCCCGCTTGGTCGTGGTGACGGCGGGTGTCCGCCAGCAGGAGGGCGAGAGTCGCCTGAACCTGGTGCAGAGGAACGTGAACGTCTTCCGGTCCATCATCCCCCAGATCGTCAAGCACAGTCCTGACTGTACTCTCATCGTCGTCTCCAACCCCGGTGAGTCTGAGTCTCAACGTCTGCCGCGTTTAGAAAACCATCATTAACCAGCAGGTGTCGCACTGCTCCACAGTGGACGTGCTCACCTACGTCACCTGGAAGCTAAGCGGTCTGCCCAAACACCGCGTCATCGGCAGCGGCACCAACCTGGACTCGGCTCGCTTTCGCTACCTGATGGCCGAGCGCCTGGGCATCCATTCCACGTCCTTCAACGGCTGGGTGCTGGGCGAGCACGGAGACACCAGTGGTGGGTGCACGCACGGCCGTTTGCGATGTCATGATGATGTCATTGTGTGACTGTTTACGTTACACCTTGTTCTCCAGTGCCTGTGTGGAGCGGAGCCAACGTGGCTGGAGTCAACCTGCAGAAGCTGAACCCTGACATCGGTACCGACTGTGACAAAGAGCAGTGGAAGGACACACACAAGGCTGTGGTGGACAGGTACGCACTGGTCACATGGTCACCTGCCAGTAAACAGTACCAGTAAACAGACCCAAAAGAAAGGGACTGTGGTCCTGTGAGACGACTCGTCAGCGCCACCTTGCATGTTGTGTTTATTGAGAACTGTTTTTTCGTGTTGCAGTGCCTACGAGGTGATCAAACTGAAGGGCTACACCAACTGGGCCATCGGTCTGAGCGTGGCCGACCTGACGGAGAGCATCGTCAAAAACATGAGCCGCGTTCACCCAGTCTCCACCATGGTCAAGGTCAGTGACCTTTACCAGTACACACACACATACAGATGGTACTTGGATGGATGGAACTTTTCTTTTTCCTCTGGTTCTGTTGATTTCCTGCTTAGAGCATGTTTACAAACAGTGTGAAACCTGGTCCTGTTTAGTTGAACACAGCACTGATGTACTCGCAGGAATTAAAGAAACAAAAATTTTCTTCAACAGCTTTATACTGTTATTTTATAGCAGTATGCTGCCACCTAGTGGAGGGGAATTCATTGTTCAGCCTGACAAATAAATAGTACATTTACAATTACATTTTTTGAAATTGAATCATTTTCCACGACTGACTGCAAATATTTTTACAATAACAATAATATTATTATCAAATAAAATGTACTGTTATTTGTCCTGGATATTATAAAAAATATTTTTCCACAACCTGCAAAGTTGGCTGAGTATGGACAACTTTTTGATTGATAGTATCTGTTAGCATTATAACAACATCTATACTGTTAGAGAACAGCCATTGTTATAACCTGGTGGGGGTGTGATCTGCTGATTAACCCGTGTTTGAATGTGTGCTCAGAACATGTACGGCATCAGCGAGGAGGTCTTCCTGTCTCTGCCCTGCGTTCTGAACAGCAGCGGCGTGAGCAGCGTCATCAACATGACCCTGACGGACGACGAGGTGGCTCAGCTGAGGAACAGCGCCGACACGCTGTGGGGCATCCAGAAGAACCTGAAGGACATTTGAGCGTACGTGTACCCCTGTAGTCATCACTCCAGCTTTACCCCCTGAAAATACTACAAGTACTACTTAGCACAGCAGTGATTCTGCTGCCAGCTGTACACACACACACACATATATATAAAGCCAGCTGTACACACACACACGCATATATATAAAATATATTTATTTTTGATCTTTCCAAATTGTCCATTGAATCTAATGATGAATGAAAACACGTACATTTTCCTCCCAGCACTTCATACCCAGTAATGTTGTGTGTTGGTGTGTAGACAAAAATCAAGCACAAAGTGTCGCCCTCTCCCTGTGGAGCGAGGCATTTAATCAGCTGTGAATAAAACAAACAAACAAAAAAAATAATACAAATCCACAAGCACACGGTGTCAGTGACTTAGACACGTTGACGCACACAGAGACGACAGCACACGGTTTGTGTGAGTGAGTATGAAGAGTTTTCAGTTGTGTTAGTGAACAGAGTGTTTGTGGTAATGACCGTCTGACCTGATGTGTGATCACAAGTGTAGTTAAATAAACTGATGTTCACCATAAAAGGTGTTACTGGTGGTGGTGGCTCTTTTTCTTGCTGACTCTGCATGTTGCTCTATTTTTGAAAAATGTCTAAAAATATTGTAAATATATTAGCATATATGCATATTTTTGAATGGATATATTAAAATAGTAGTAATAAATAAATATTTACGCATAGGGATGTAACGCTACAATATTTTTGAATGGATATATTAAAATTAAACTAAATAGTAGTAATAAATACATATTTACGCATAGGGATGTAACGCTACGTCGTGAACTGATTAAAAATCGATAAAAATGTGTGACAATTTATATCGGGTGAAATCATACTATGAGACCATACACTCCAATACAGTAGGTGGCGGTATGCGCCCAATACGTTGGTTGTGACCCACTAATAAACCCAGACGTCAGGTTCCTCCGTAGCCGAAGTGACATTCAGGTGTTGAAACAGAACGTGGGAAGAACTTGACTTTTTTGTTGTTTAATATATTGACAGTTAGCCAGGTCATAAAGAGGCTAGACCAGGTTAATTTGTCTGGAGCTCATTTTGTTTTAAAAATAAAAAGCTCTGGCTAAACGTCCAGCAGTTAGCCAAGCTACGTCCTTTAGCCTTTAGCCGTTTTGACAGTGAGCTTCCGGAATTAAAAGTTAGTAGTGAATGTATACAGCCTCAAACTTTTGCACATGTATGTGAAAAAACCTTTTTAATTCAAAAACATAACGCTTTCACAGAAATGTTTGGTACAAAAAGTTTAATCAGGGAAACAACGTCATCTCAATATTTATTACACACAAGTGGAAAAATGGCCGGCCTTTCTCAGGTGGCCACCTCCAGTTCTCGCGAGAAGACAGAAAGCGGGGAGAACTTATTTGTTCTGGCTTTTGCTACGGCTCTCCGGTAAATGTAACGTTTCCCGAAGCGGAGGCCGAACGGGTTGAAGTTGAACTTGCTGCGGCGGTCGTTGCACAGCAGTTGCCGCCGCTCGTCGTTCTCCCCCCGTGAGAAACACAGGCCACTGCTCCTGCCCGCCACCCGCCTCATTATTGTATTCAATGCATTCAAACTTTTTTTATTGAATAATACGCAAAATAACAGTAATACTAATATTATGATACTTGTAATAAGTATAAATTAAATTACTATTTGAGTAATTTAAGGTCTTACTAATATTCAGTGTTAGCTTTTAATTTAAACAGCCATATTTTACAGGCACGGAATGACAAAAGAACTCTGGTTAAACCGTCAGATCCACTAGCTTTAATTATATTAATTATTCGATGCCTATTGTGAATTGTAAATATGCTTTTTTACCCATACGTACATCGTCTGACCATCGAGTTGTATCTGTATCAACGGCACAAAAGTTTACAAATGTTAATGCTTTTTTTATTTTAAAGCATTTTTTATTTCAGCATTTAACTTAAAATGTTTCGTTAAAGTCACGTGCCCTAAATATCTGACTATTATTTTATGCATAAAAAACAAAAACATATTTCTCTTTGACTGTATCCTCTATTTTCAAAAGCTGTGATGGACTAATTTTAGTTTTCCAGTAGTTTTTTAAAATGGTTATAGTAATAATAATAATAATTAATAATAATATTGGTGTTTTAAAATTATTATGTATTTAAAATAGCAAACATGGACAAGACACTACATGCTTCGTTAATTTAAAAAAGTTTAAATGTAAACAAAATACAAAGATTCTAATTTTTGTTGATTCATCTAAAGACTAAATATTCAGAATATATTTTAGTTTTGAAAAAAGAAAACAGGCAGAGATCAATCAAAACCTTGTTGCAGAGTTTTAGCCATTTTATTAGGTTTTGCACTAATGTTTGGTTTTAAAATTTTAATGTTTGTTTTGATTCAAATGTCTTTAAATTTTGTTGTTCATTTTCAAAAACCTGATCAAATAAATTGTTATAAAAATGTACCAACATGTCTAAACCTGTTTTAGTTCTGAACGTTAGACGTTTGTGAAATCATAACATCTGTCTCTGAACTTTTCGACTCACCCTGGTTTAGAAGCAGATCAGATAATAAATGAAAAAACGTAAAAACACTTCTACACTTCCACTTGTATTGTAGCTTACCTGTTTCTTGTGTCCTTTGTGTGGAGTCGTACTGGGGAAGAACTGCACCACTGCTGCCTCCATCCTGCCCCAGGACCAGGCAACACACCACAGCGAGAGCAACGAGCCTCATGTTCCTCTGTTTGATCATCCGCTCCACAGTCACTGATGCTGTCCCTCCATTCAGACCCGCTTTATGCTTTCACCAGGTGACCCGGGCCTCCTCCCGCCCTCAGCCAATCACACACGTCTGTGTTGCCACTACTGTAAATTGCAGCGCTGTCCGCTGCCGGTGGTGCTGAAATGCATCATTCATCACCTCTTCGTGGAATCGTTTGTGTTTTTCAGATCATTCGTCTGCAGTGAGCTGACATGTAGCTGCATCTGGTGAAATGGAGAACACTTTTAGACACAGTAACGGAGAGACGGTGAGGAACCGAGAGGCCGCGACATGTGATGTGGAACATGGAACATTACAGAACGGCAGCAGCCGGATTTATTTACCTCCATAATTACCTTTACTCTCTGAAACTACTGCATTTATTATTTACATCCAACCGACGTAAATAGGTCTGCATTGAAAATCCACAGATAAAAAAAAAAATGAAAGTGAAAATGACGTCTGTCACTGATTAACATGGGGCCTCACCGGCAAAACCACAGCTTGTTTGAAAAGAGGTCAAAAGTTCCCAGTGGATCTGCTGGAAGCATGTTGTGAAATTGGTGTTCATTCTATACACACAGAACCTCCCAGAACCACAGAGGCATTCTGTGTTAACATGTGACTGTAGTAGTTTTAAAATAGCAGAGTTTGACAAAGGTTGACGGTCCCTTATGATCGTAACAGATATTTAAGCGTAAATGTTTCGTTCCTTATTGGTTTCAACACCTGCCTTGTATTATATATTCTGGGATGGAAGAAAATATTGATACACTGATATATCGGAATATTTCCTTTCCTGATACCGTATCAATCTCCTCCTCCATCAGTTATTGATTTTTTTTTCTCCCCAATTCCCAGTCCAATATTCCTGGTGTTGGTTCTTTTTCTTTTTCTTTTCTTTCTTCTCTAGTGATTCTAAATGTAGATCCCTCTGTTCCAGAGTTAGGAATCTGATGTTCAGATGGAACAGCAGCAGAGTCTTTTACCCAGAATTTTATTTAGTTTGAAATGTTCTTGAATCTCACACATATCATTCTCTAAATTTCTGTCCAGTTTTAATGAAAATAGTGGTCAAAAAAGAATATTAAAGCGCAGAAGTGTTGACTCTGTATTTATTTAAAAAGTGCATTATGTGATTATCTATTATATATAAAATATGACCTGAAACGATCATTCCTTAATAATCACTTTTTTCTATCCATGTCTGTTGTGCTTTCATTCATCGACATTTCACAATCGTGTGTGTTTGTTCAGTTGGGGGGGATGGGGGGGGTCACATTTCCTCTGCCTCTGTCTGATCCTCTTCTCTCTGCTCAACTCAGAACTTTCACCTGAGGACGGTTTGAAGGCTCTCCCTTCATGTGTCCGTAGCTCTGTGGTTGGTATCACTCTCGTCGCTGCTGCTTCACCATGCCACTACCACGGTCTTTGTCCATGACGTCCCTGAGCGGCGTGCTGCCGGCCTGGGAGGAGGACGAGCTCCCTGTGGAGGACCTGCTCCTCTTCGAGGTGTCCTGGGAGGTCACCAACAAAGGTCAGGCAGAACACAGATATTTTAATTTATTTATTTGTTTATTTTCATTGAAGAAACTCCTTAGTATAAACAAGTTAAACAAGTTACTAGCATCTTTGTAAATAAGTAAATCTGTGCATCAAGACATTCAGCATTACATTTAAAATTACAGTAGATTTACAGAGAAATTATAAAGTTTCACAGTTTACAGGAAAGAAAAAGTTTATAATAATAATTATGGCTGGAATCCATTGTTTTAACAGTAAAACTGAGGTCAAAGCTCAAGTGTAGTTGTTGCAGGAACATTCTCTGTGTTGGGGATTGTAGTTTTTCACTTTGGGGGGAAAAAAACCCTCTTTGTCCTTAAGGTAAATATTGAACAGAGAGGAGTTGAAATCTACTCTGTCTGAAGAGTTAAACATTAAACCACAGACAAGTCATGACTCGTTAGGTTTTAGAATCTGATTCTTGAATGTATCCTAAAATACATTCAAAATAAATACATAAATAAATAAGGAACCGAAAACACACACACCAGAATAAACAGCCTGTATAAACTACATTTGACCACTGACCGCTAACCACCAATTGTCATAAAAGGTGCATTCAGGTGACATCGGTAACTTGATAAGCCGACAATTACGTTTCAGGAAAAATGGTTGATAAAACAAATATATATATATTTATTTATTTATTGTCTCTTGTCCCCCACTTTGAAAACCACTGCGTCACAGGAATAAAACAGTAAATTCGAGGCAAAACAGTTTGATTTACTTTTTCTGTACGAAAATGTTTGGTTGTTTGAATCTTTAAAAAGGGCGGGTACGTTTTTTTTTTTTTTTTTTAAACTAAATACATTAAACAATGATTATATGCAAAACAGTTGATTTCTGACAGATGAAATAAAATGTGACGCAGCTCCACGCTGGCCTGTGTTTTATTCGTTTTCTGTTTTTCTAACGCGTCACATGCCGAGGTTTTCAAACAGGTCAGAGGTTTTTGGTGGCGTGTTTATGTAAGCACCTCTCTGACGTCATCTTGACGTCACCGTTAGTTCACTGCTCCTTATCACCATTTGCCTTTTTTCCCTGCCAAGTGCGAATCTGAGCGAAACATTTTTATGCATTTTAGTCTATACGAGTCTTAGCGAAACATTTTTATGCATTTTAGTCTGACTCACAACACAAAACACTGCTGAGTTCACCACGTGAACAAATATTTAGGCTGTGTCATGGAGTATTATTGTTAATAATGAATGTCTTTGGAAGGTGTTCTGATCTCTGTGGTCACCTGTGTTATTTTGTATCATCTCAATTCTGTCCACATTGTGTTCAAACATCGTCTGTTTTCTTTCCTTTTATCCACAGTTGGAGGAATCTACACCGTGATCCAGACCAAGGCCAAGATCACGGTGGACGAGTGGGGGGAGAACTACTACATGATGGGGCCGTACTTTGAACACAACTTCAAGACACAGGTGGAGGCCTGTGAGCCCCCCAACCCTGCCATCAGGAAGGCCATGGACTCTCTGATCTTCAGTGGCTGCCAGGTGTGTGTCAAGGTGTTGGAGTCAACGTAAAGTTTTATAAAGTTGAAGCTGTGTAGTCAAGACTGCAGGTGTTAAAATAACAACTGTACACAGTAAATAATGAGGATGATTTTTTTTTTTTTTTTAAACAGGATTATTTGACACATTTTCAGAATAAGCCACACAGTAAAATGATGTAGTACAAATGAAGCTGTGAATTTAAATAAATTATCCTGTTTTTCTACTGGGTTTTTCGAGAAAAAGCTGGAAATATCTAATTTTTTTTAATTCAAGCTATACTACATATTAAGTATTCTATACGAAATACTGTTTACATTTTTTTTGCAGTGTTATAACAGTTACGTTCATAACCAGTTGACTCACTGTAATCTTTATTGAAATCTTATCCCCCTACTTCCCACTGGAGGGAGCCCAAGTACCTGCTGTGAAAAGTGCTGGAAAATGTTTTTATTGTTTGTTAATTTTATTTTTTATGTTTCACTGCATTAAAAGTATTTTTTTCCTTCTTGAAAAGTAAACTATAATTAGTGGTTACAGTGATTGTTCTTTATTTTATGATTTTATTTATTTTTTTATTCTGCAGGTTCATTTCGGCCGCTGGCTAATAGAAGGCAGCCCCTACGTCATCCTGTTTGACCTCGGCTCCGCCGCCTGGAACTTGGACCGGTGGAAGGGTGACCTGTGGCAGACCTGCCACATTGGCCTGCCCTACGATGACCGAGAGGCCAACGAGTGCCTCATGTTGGGCTCCCTGGTGGCCTGGTTCTTCAAAGAGGTCGGTCGTTTGTCTGTCGTTTCTGTTTCTTCTTCTCCACAGGAGGTTTTTCTGATCGTTAACTCAGATGATCCGTAATGACTGAAATGTTTGACCGCAGCTCACAGACAACCTTGGAGAAAAACCCAACGTCATCTGTCACTACCACGAGTGGCAGGCCGGACCGGGTCTCATCTTCTCCCGCTGCCGGAAGCTTCCTATTGCCACGGTTTTCACCACACACGCCACACTGCTGGGACGGTACCTCTGTGCTGGGAACGCTGACTTTTACAACAACTTAGACAAGGTGAGAGGAAGAGGAGACAGAATTTATTCTTTTTAAAAAAAAATATTTCCATGATGTCAAACAAAGAACTAGTTTTGTAGCCGTGTCAATGAACCAATCAAAAGCTTCCGAAGCAGGGATGTAACCATGCGTCGTGAATCAGTTAATGATCAAATTGAAATAAAAAAATGAATCGTCCATCAAGGCCTAAGAAGTTGGCTGCGTTATCTCAGAGTCAGTACCATGAGTCTACACACTGGTACAGTAGGTGGCAGTATACGCCTATAAACACTGGTTGTGACCCACCAATAGACGTCAGGTCAGTAGGTGACATTCAGGTGTTGAAACAGAACGTTTAAACATACAGTTTAAAAGTTTACTAATATCAATATATTTAAATCTGAATTGGAAGGAATTAATAATCGTTTTTAAAATCTCAGTGTTAGGAAATATAAATAGTTTCTGTTGATTCTAAGCTGAATTGAAGATAGAAGGTCAAACACACACACACACACTCACACACTGCTGCTGTTGGATTCATTGTACACACCGAGCAATGATTTCCGTCTTTACTCACCACTTAGTGCTTCATGAGGATCGTTAGTGATATCGAACGGAGCGTGGACAGTTCAGGTGAGTGCCTGTGATTGGCCGTGCCTCACCCAAATCTTGAAAGGTCACCGTGTGATCTAAAGGCCACTCTTGGTGCAGATGGATAATTGACGATGGCTGTGATCTGTCAGCTATCAGACCAGCGTGAACAGGGAGAGAGGAAGTCGAATAAATTAGCATTTTCAGCCGCGTTGACATCAGAAAAGAAAGTTTGATCAAAGGAAAATAATTTAATTATTTCAAGTGGAACCCAGTACATTTCTTATATGTGTGTGTGTGTGTGTGTGTGTGTAGTTTAACAATGACCTGGAGGCAGGCGAGCGACAGATCTACCACCGCTACTGCCTGGAGAGGGCAGCAGTGCACTGTGCTCATGTCTTTACCACAGTGTCGGAAATCACTGCAGTGGAGGCCCAGCACATACTACACAGGAGGCCAGGTGAGGAAGTACTTCAGAGTATCATTGAGTATAAAATATTCACAACCACCACCACCTCGGCTTCAGAACCAGAAGAACAGGAACCGTTCATGTCACGGGAACTAATGAGTTCAACAGTGGTAAAAAAGTTCATCGGTGATTCCCAACCACTGGGTCGTGGCACGCTTGTATTTCTCCGATGATTCCCAACCACTGGGTCGTGGAACATTGGTGTGCTGTAAAAATTATATTTTTTGACTTAATTGATCTGAAATAGCAATTAGCTACAATCTGAAAATCAAGTACTCTTCCACTAGGTGGCAGCAGATGCCTGATAAATCTGCCTGTTGCCACTCAGACAATTGAATTAGTGAAATAGTTTTGGTTGTGACAGCAGTATATTAGTGTTGGATGAATTGTGATTAAATTTAAACTTGAAGATTACATTTTGTGACATGTAAAATATGTTTGTTGATCACAGAGTGGGAATCATGGAATTGTCCATAGTTCTGGTCAGTTCTGGTACTTGTGTTCTGGTACTTGGCCTAATGTGTTCCCGTGTTGATGTTACAGACGTGGTCACCCCGAACGGACTGAACGTGAAGAAGTTCTCTGCCATGCACGAGTTCCAAAACATGCACTCCACCAGCAAGGCTCGCATCCAGGAGTTCATCAGAGGTCACTTTTACGGGTGAGTGTCGTTGGTCTTCATACTGTTGTTGTCATCTGACAGAGTGTGTGTGTGTGTGATTTTTAACCACTCTGTTCAACGCCGTCGTTCGACAGTCACCTCGACTTCAACCTGGACAAAACACTTTTCTTTTTCATCGCTGGCCGTTACGAGTTTTCCAACAAGGGAGCGGATATTTTCCTGGAGGCTCTTTCCAGACTGAACTACCTGCTGCAGGTGAGGAGATGTAGAAGTGACGGTGGGTAAAAAAAGATGGTGGACAGGACGATGGAGCGGAGTTAAGATAAGAAGTCAAGTGATGACTTTCAGCTCCCCAGAAATATACTATTAATTAATTAAATATAAACATCAAAAACATACATACAAACAAATATATTGATAATACAAATATATTATATATTAATAAATATATTGATAAAATAATCAATAATATATTTGTAATATTGATAATATAAATGTGTATATATATGTACACATGTGTTTATATATATATATATGTACTCTACATATACAGTATGTAGAGTACACAGTACTTTGCACATATACAACATGTATTCCCATCAACCTCCCGCCCCCCCCCCTCCCCTCTCTGGCTCCGCCCACAGGTCCATAAGAGTGATGTCACGGTGGTGGGCTTCTTCATAATGCCTGCCAAAACGAACAACTTCAACGTGGAGTCCTTGAAGGGTCAGGCAGTACGTAAACAGCTCTGGTACGTCACGCTGTACTTCAAGAGTTCAAAGTTGATGAAGTGAAGGGACAGTCAGACACTGGTTAATGGTCCAGTGTCGGCTTCAGTCTGGACCAGAGGTCTATGTGGTCTTGATGGTCTTTATCATTTCTCATACAGAACACAACCCACCACTGTAAATATCTGATCTGTATAAATATATATTTCATTTTCAAGCAAACAACAAATAGAAAAAAAAAATTTTTTTTCCTTCCATTTTTGCTCCGACAGGGACACAGCTCACACTGTGAAGGAGAAGTTTGGGAAGAAGCTTTACGATGCTCTTCTAAAGTACGGTGACGTGTTTTCACAGAGAGAATTCTTCACTTCTGTGGAGAAAAAAAAGGTTCATTCAGAAATAAATTGTTTTATTCCTCCCACCCTCACCCACCCTCCCCCCTGTGATCAGAGGGAGTATCCCTGACATGAATTCAATCCTGGAACGAGATGACGTTACGCTAATGAAGAGAGCTATCTTCGCCACTCAGGTAGTACCGCTACACACACACACACACACACACACACACAGATGTATTTAATATCTTCTAAATTTGTATTGTCTTTTTTTTCTTTTTATTAATCATCATAATGATCTGAGGAATAATATTTACTTCTGCACTGTACATTAGACCCGCTAGGGGGCAGCATAGTAATAACGACGTTCAGATTTCCTCAATTAAGGTGTAAAGATTAGCCAGTTTTGCCAAGAAGGAAGAGGCTCATAGGTCCATTGTTAAATAGCTGAAAGCTAATTAGAAGATGTAGCAAAGATAATAAAAAATAGACCAAGATGATGAGTGAATGTTGTTAGCCATGAAAAAAATTCTTGAAGTAATCCAGAAATTTAGAAAATAATATCAAAATGTGGGCTGAAATGTGGAAAAAACCCCAACAAAAATGCTAACTGTAAACATAGACTCTTATTAAAAAAAGTCAGAGTCAAAATAAAGTGGTCCATTGTAATATAATAATATCACGTCTCAACTCGGCAGTTTTTTTGCCTATCGTGGGTGTTGCGATAGTTATAGTATTATTTACGTATATATTAACCCTTTACCAACTCTTTAGGAGGCGAAACTTTCACAAATCTCGTTTACAGGTTATTTCAATACCCTGCATGTCTGTGTTACAAAATGTCTTTTAATTTATTTGTAGTGTTTATTTGGAGCCATGGTAGGAGACCAGTCTGCGTCCTCTGTAATTTTATGAATGGCGGAGACATTTCCTGGTCAGGGGTCGATGTGAGCGATGGTCTGCTGCCGTGTATGAATTAACGTAGGACAGGAAGGGGGGATTCCACGGGACGCAGAGCGTGACGGAGCGTCACAACTTAGCTTGATTACTTTCCTCCGGGGCAGACCGCGGATCAATAGCCGACATGGATATGGGTGACGTGTGTCACGGAACATCAATGTCACCAGCTCCAAGTCTGTAAAAAGGTCCTCCTCAATTAAAGGGATTTATGCCACCGTCAATATTTCAGCGTTCGGAAATGGAACACGAGTGGTATCGACGATCGCTGATGGATGGGGGGAGCGTTTGTGATTGCTGATTGGACGAATGCCACGGTTTTCGTATATGTTTCAGTTTGTCATCTTTCTCATTGGTAGTCCTGTCCATTTGTCTTCTACTCCCTCATACTGTATAAAACTGTACGTCCATACCAGGAGGGACTCATACGGCAGAAACCATGTGGACATTTTAGGGTTAGAACTCAATGGTTTCCTGGTTCGATCCCTGGTCTCTGTGTGGAGTTTTCTTGTTCTCCCTGTGGTTGATGTGTTGATAGTTTACTGATAGTTTTACCACAGCTACCACTGTGAGTGTAAACGTCCCTGGAACTTAAAGGGATTAAAGTTGTTGGTGACTGGTTTGTGTGTCGACTGGGATCGACTCCAACTCCATCACGGAGTCGCTTAAAAAAAAAAAATGTTGAAGTCAATGGAATGTCTACTTCAATCGACAACTTCTCTCATTATATCCGGTCACACTGGAGAAAACGTAACTGATTAATTGATTAACAGTATTTTCTCTTAGGGTCATTGATTGACACTGTGTACGTGAAATTAGGCCGTGAGGCAAGATTTATCAGCGACCTTTGACCCAGAATATTTCCACTAAAACCTCTAACTGGACCAGTATCTGATCCAGTACAGAACTGGTTCTCTTATTTACCAGACAGCGTCACTGGGTTTTAATTAGGGATGTCCGATATTATCGGCCCATAATATTAGCATATTATGTAATATCTAACCCTCCGATAATGAAAACCTGATAACGCAATAACTTTGTTTCACCAAATGATGTGTGTCCTAAAAATAGTTTTGGGGAAAAACGGCTGTATATTAAAGTGAAAGTCACTAGATGGCAGCATTGCAGCTCATTTTAATTAACCTCATACTCGTACAGTGGTTTGTACAGATAAATAAATAAATATTACCAGGTCTATATCGATATCGGTTTATATCGGAATCGGAAATGAAGTGTTTGGACTAATATCGGATATACTAATATCTGTTGAACTCTTTGAACAGCAGAGACAAAGCCTGCCTCCGGTGACCACACACAACATGCTGGACGACTCCACTGACCCCATCCTGACCAACATCAGACGCATCGGTCTCTTCAACCTGAGGAGTGACCGTGTCAAGGTACCAGACCTGTTCAACGGGGTCAAACCCCTGAATGACCTGTGACCCTGAGTTGACCCTGACCTGATGATTGTTAAACATGAGGCTGGTGTGAACTGCTGTGTTCCTTTCAGATCATCTTCCACCCGGAGTTCTTGTCCTCCACCAGTCCTCTGCTGCCCATGGACTACGAGGACTTTGTTCGTGGATGTAACCTGGGAGTCTTCCCCTCGTACTATGAGCCGTGGGGCTACACACCTGGTACACTCTTAGCTTCCACACTGACACGTGCGCAGCTATTAGTGCGAAGAAGAAAACAAGGAAATACAATTACACATCAGTGATTTTTTTTTATAAACTGGAAAAATAAAATTTATAATTAACCCTTTGATGCATGATCCATGATATACTGAGTTAAAAAAAATGTTACTGTTTTTATGTGTTTTTAGACAAAAATAAGAACCGATAAGGTTCTGTTTTTATACACCAAATTTTCTTTTTGAATGTTGACACAATTATTCTGCAGTTGCAAAGGCTGACCACTGTAGGCAGTGTTGGGTGATTCTCAGGCGTCCACTGTAGAGGCTTATATGCAACACTGCCATCAAAACCTATTCTTATCATAGAAAATGACTTTTTCATAGCTGTCCACTGTAGTGACCGTCATACATGAAAAGGTTAATTTTGCCTTTCTTCTATTGACAATGGTTCCCAAAGTGGGGGGTGGGTCCCCATTGTCTGTTTTTGAACTTAAAAAAAAAGAAAACATTTTAAAAATGTTTTCAATTATTAGGTACATTTGTACTTATTTTAATTCTGTTCCAGGTGAGTGTACAGTCATGGGTATTCCCAGTGTGACCACCAACCTCTCTGGGTTTGGCTGCTTCATGGAGGAGCACGTGTCAGACCCCACGGCTTATGGTACAAACACACACCAACACACACACACGTGTTATCATTATCATCACTGTTGTTGACCGACCCTGACCAAACCACGTGTGGACGATGCTGCTGCTGCTGCTTCTTCTTCTTCCTTCCAGGGATCTACATTGTGGACCGGCGGTTTCGTTCTGCTGAAGAGTCGTGTAAACAGCTGACGCAGTACATGTTCAGTTTCTGTCAGCAGTCGCGGCGTCAGCGCATCATCCAACGCAACCGCACGGAGAGGTTGTCTGAGCTGCTGGACTGGAAATACCTCGGCCGGGTACGTCTGTCACTGAGGCTAAATGTGTGTTTATATGTGTGTATATATATATATATGTGTGTATATGTATATATATGTATATGTGTATATATATGTATATGTATATGTATTATATATGTATATATATTTATATATGTATGTGAGTATGTATATATGTATTATATATGTGTATACGTATATATGTGTATATGTATATATGTATATATGTATGTGTATATGTATATATGTGTGTATATGTATATATGTATATATGTATATATGTATGTGTATATGTATATATGTGTATACGTATATATGTGTATATGTATATATGTATATATGTATATATGTATATATGTATGTGTATATGTATATATGTGTGTATATGTATATATATGTGTATGTGTATATATGTGTGTATATGTATATATATGTATATGTGTATATATATGTATATGTATTATATATGTATATATATTTATATATGTATGTGAGTATGTATATATGTATTATATATGTGTATACGTATATATGTGTATATGTATATATGTATATATGTATATATGTATGTGTATATGTATATATGTGTGTATGTGTATATATGTGTATATATGTATATGTGTATATGTATGTATACTATATAGGTGTATATACACATTAACAGTGGATTAATTCTAATTAAACTGGATTAATCCAGATTAAACAACGTTGTGCAAATGAAGAGATAATTTTAGGTGAAACACAAAATCTCATCCACAACAGATTAGTGGGACGTTTTTTGTTACTTACTCACTTCCTGTTGTCCATTTCTGCTTCCTTGACAGTTTTACGTCCACGCCCGCCTCCTGGCTCTGAGCAGAGCGTTCCCCGAGAAGTTCAAGACGGAGCCCATCGTCTCCCTCAAGGTTTGTGAATGAGAGCGAGTGAATGGATTCACACCTGGACTGTGATGTCAGTCAATATCTTTCTCTCTGACTCTTCATCACTTGTTCTTCTTTTATTTTTAATTTTTTTGCTCACTCTTTTTTTTTTTTCTCCATTTATTATTTCCCATCAACCCTTGTGGTTGTTAAAGCCCTACACCAGGATACTGTTCTACTTCCTGTTGTGCTCCTCATGCACATGGCTGGTATGATCAGCATTTATCAAGCTTTAATTGACAGCCTAGCATTTGGATGATTGACAGCTCATCATTTTGGGTGGTGCAGTAGCTGAACATGGCTGAGCTTCAACAATTTATCTTTTTTTTGGGTTTTTTTTCTCCAGGAGTTTCACTGACGCTACTCTGTGTCCGGTAGAATAATGTTTTGTTTTTGTTTTTTTACGGGCCTACGTAAATGTACGTTTGAGGATGACATCATCGTCTGAGGTGAGAGTAGGGGGCAGGTGGAGGAGAACCTGGAGGGTCAGCAGAAGCAAGTAAGGCTGTAAATATTAATACTTGATCCCGTATCAGTGTCCTCCTCCATCAATTATTGATTTTTTTTCTCACCAACTCCCAGTCCAATATTCCTGGTGTTGGTTCATGTTCTTGTTCTTTTCTTTCTTCTCTAGTGATTCCAAATGTAGATCCCTCTGTTCCAGAGTTAGGAACTGATGTTCAGATGGAACAGAGTCTGAGACTAGGACCACACTGGGACTACAGCTAGACTGGGGAGAAAAAAAACAAACAATATAGTTTTGTGCCTATAGTATTGCAATATATAGTAATGACAATATATCGTGACACGTATCGTATCGCCAGATTCTTGCCACTACACCCCCTAAGAGGGAGTCAGAAAATATCGGTGTGAACGAGTCTATTGGACAGTGACTCTGTCTAACAGACAGAAGACTGACCTGGACACAGATGTAGCGCTGTAAGCTAATGGCTAACAGCTAGGTGGATAGCGTTACGAAGGCCTAGTGATTAAAATGTCTCTCTAACCAAATAAAAGCTCAGCTTCTCTTCTGTCTCCACAGACCGAGGGTTTCCGTTACCCACGCCCCTACTCCGTGCCGCCCTCTCCTTCAGCCTCCCTCCACTCTACTCCTCATCACAGCGATGATGAAGACGACAACGACGATGACGATGATGACGATGAGCACTACGATGAAGACGAGGAGGCAGAGAGGGACAGGATCAACATCAAGGCTCCCTTTGTGCTCGGCGCTGCGCCCGACATCGAGGAAAATCATATCTAGTACACGCAGTACTGGTACAGGCAGTACTAGTACACACAGTAGTTTTTAATATTACAGTAGCAGAGATTTTACAAACTGGAAAGTTCCGGTAACAGCTGGTTGTGAACACATTTTTTTAAATGATTCTGCTGCGTTTGTTTGTACTTAAAAAATTAAAATGAAGATTCCAACATGACCATCAAACAGACACTGGTGAAGGTCTCGTGTTCACCTGGTAAACTGAGTAACTTTATAAACAGTAGGAGGCAGTATTGGACAATGTGGTGTTTACCTTTAAGCAGAAATAAAAATTAATAATAAAGAAAGATTTACAAATTATTTGATGAAGAAACAATTTGTAATATTTGTATGTATTTATTTAGCAATGCTAATGCTGCTAAAATGGTATGGAATTACTATTGGTTAGCAAGTTTAGCTATTAGTTTATTATTAGCACCTGTTCAGGTAATAATCACATGACCACATTTAAAAAAAAAGCCACACATCAACAGACCATCAGTGCTATGAATTTAACTTATTTTTATTAAAACATCACATTTCAAACAAATCATTATTTACATTAACATTGTTCCAGACAGAGCAGGTGATGTGTGTGTGTGTGTGTCTGGTATAACTACTGGTGGGGACATTTGTTTGTTCAGTTTGGGTTGGGCATTTATTTATAGTAGTCGACGTCCAGGTGTCTGTGAAGTGCTAACAAAAACACAAAAACCAGTGTGTGTGTGTGTGTCTGTGTGTGTTTGGGTAAATATACATCAGAAGAATTCTCTCTTCCACACCGGCATCTCCTGGAAATACACTTCGTCTTGGTTTTCTTCAGCTAGAAAAGTGAAGGAAAACAAAATCACATGACTTGAAATTTAATATAAATCCTGTGGTAAAAACAAAATGACAAAAAAAAAAAACTTTTAAAAAAATGATTGTCTTTACAGCTAATTTAAATACAATTTTTTACTTGTATTAATGTCCTGTAATTTTAATGGTAATTTGTCTTTAAATGTCCTGTCGTTGGAGAGCAGAGGTAAGATTCCTGTCTCTCATTTTTTTTTATATCTTATTATTATTTTAAATATCTTATGTTTCCAACAACGTATATTGTTGCTGTTGCTCCTGCTGCTGTTGCTCCTGCCCTCACCTCCTTCTCTGGCCTGTTGCAGGAAGTTGAGCAGTATGGTGGCTGCCTGGTCCACACTCATCTTCTCTGTGTTCTGGCTGCGCGTCTCTGACAGGAAACAAACAAACAAACAAACAAACACATCTTTTTTAGCTCGTCATGAACTCCTGGACCAAAGTGGCTCCGACCTCCGTTACTGTTTTGGTAAGTCACTGTTTTTTTTAATATACGTCTGTGTGTGAAATATGGGAATACAACATTTGATTTTACCTAAGTGTAGAGTGTCGTAGACGTCGCCCTCCTTTCGGTCCTCTGAGATGAACCTGCGTCCCTCTGTGAAAAGTCTCCGTTGTTTTATTATTTTTTTCTCATTTTTAACCGAGCAACTAATTAATTTGAATCATAAAAAAACAGAAAATGTATATCTTGAAAAAAAAAATTCCTCATGGGAAAAATGTAATTATTATTGATATCCAATCACAGGTCACATGTTGCCCCCCGGACCAGAGGTTTGATACGGTTCATTTAGTGCAATGAGTCTAAACCTTAAATATTTGTATATTTATGTTGAATTTAAAATTATTTTAAAAATTTTTTTTTTTTTAAATTGCTTGGACGCCGCTTGGTACATGAACCTCCATTTGAGAACCACTGTACAGGGATTAAACTCTAACCCCACAACTGGAATGCATCCTATTTTCCCAATGCACAGAGCAGCCCAACATTAACAGATACATTTATAAAAAAAAAAAAAGAAATCATATACAAAACTCCAACATCTTCTCCTCCTCCTCCTCCTCTGTCAGAGCGATTACAGTAAGAAGAGAGTTTTACGTACGTGTCCCCTTGAGGTACAGCATGGCCTGTGGCGTCCAGTTCCTGCGCTGGAACGAACCCTGGGTGTGAGAAGAAGAGGAGGAGGAGGAGGAGGAGGAGAACTGTTTAATGTTGTTCTCCATTAACTGTTCTAGAAGGAGGAGTCGAGCTGCTCACCTTAGGAGCGCTCCACGTCTCTGAGACGAAGGAGGCGAGAAGTAAAAGGGTGAGGAGATAAGTTAATGTGATGGTTTTTAAACCCTGCAGGAGACAGAAAAAAAAATTTAAATTAAAAACAGTGTAGGATCAGCAGTGGATTTATTATGGACAAAAACTATTATTTAAGTTACTTTGAGTAAGTGAGAAAATGATAACAACCGTTATAAAAACATCAGGGCAGATGAACAGTTGAAAAAAAATAAAAATAAAAAATCAAACACAACAGAAATTATATTAAAACTAAGTTTGAGAAATATTATGTAAATTAAAATCAAAAAATGATTTAAAGAAAAACATAATATATAAAAATATATATATAAAATGATCCCAAACCGAGCAAAAATAATATTAGCATTTTTTTTGTCCATAATGCTACACATAAATCCTTAGCAAATATTTACACATAAGAAACTTCACTTACTTTCATTGTGACTGAAGTCCTGGAAAAACTGGTGTCCAGCTCCGAGGCCGAGAGAGGTTCACTCTTGGTGCTCTCTCTCTCTCTTTCTCTCTCTGTATTTATATCATCAGACATGTGTGAGTGTGTGTGTGTGTGTGTTTAAGGGGGGGGTTCCTCCTTCTTCACAGTTCCACCGTCTATAGGTCACGCCAATTTGATGAGACGGGGGCGGCTGTAATGAATGAAGCGATCAATACTGAGGGTGAATGGACGGATCAATACGGCTCCATTCATTCATTCATTCATGCTGTAGGAGACTGTAAATATTTCTGAATTACCCGCCCAGACACAGCTCTCTCTCTCTCTCTCTCTCTCTCTTCACCTCCCCCTCTCTCTCTCTCTCGTGTGCCCCTCTTGCACTGCAGTGGAACACCAATAGCTCAGATGTTGATTATGAGAAAACACGTCCAGTGAGAACCGGGACCAGTGAGTCCTTCAGGGTCCACTGGACACTGCAGGTGCCACGACCCCACCATTGGCCCACGTGGGTTGTATTTTTTATTTATTTATTTATTTTTGTCGTAGCCACCCATGTCAACCTCATGTCTGTGGTACAGTGTGTGTGTGTGTGTGTTGACCTGCACTGGGACGTTACTCTGTTTCTGACCCATGTGTGTGTACTTTCAGATTTAAGTTAAATACTATTTACGGAGTTACTGTATCAGTACTGACTAGTACTGCGGTATTTTGTCGGTGTCATGTGTGGTACTTCGAGAGTGAAGTATTATCAGAAGTAGAATGCAGTAAAACATGTTTGAGAATGACTGACTTAATACTTGATATTTGATGGCGTTGATTTCAATTCTACCTCATAACCACTAGAGGGTGACAAAATTCTACCTTTCTGACCAATAGATAAAACCAAAGAGGAAATGACCAGTTGGCCGTGATTAAACACGATCTCGTTTCACAGGTTACATACTTCACTAATGAGGTTAATGAATGGATTAATTTAAGAGATAAAGAGTCAGTGAAGAGACATATTTAAAGCTATCTTTCTTAGTTTATTTACAAAAGTGTCATACAGCAAAACAACGGACGTTTCCACTCTGACAGTTCACCAACACATAAACAACGAAGGACAAACAGAGGAAACTAAACGGTCATTTCCATAAGGCTGTGTGGTTTTGGTGCTCCAGTAGGGGGCGGGGGTTAGGATTAGGGTTGTCATGGTGGCCTGTGTTTATTCAGTCCGGCTTGTGGTAGATGTAGTTTGTAACTGTTTGTGGTTTGATATTTCACTGGTTTTCTCTGCTGCTGTTCCACCTGTATCCTCTAAATGGATGATGATGACGATGGTGTAGATGTTTAATGAATAATGGACAGCGCCCCCTGTCTAAATGAAGGTATTTTTGTTTTTAAAGCTAAAGCACAGAATCTTAAGTTTCTCGTATCACTAGAAAATCCAGAATCTCTTTTTTTTTCTTCCTATTGAAATTCCCATGAATAGAACCAATTCCCAGCAATGTTGTGATTGGTCACTTGTCAGCTACACATCATTAACATAACTTCACTGGCTGCCTCTTGAATTTGTTGACATTTTCCACTAAATACGATCATTAAAAAAAAATCCATTAGTGATTAAAAACCAAGTTTTTTGTGAAGATGTTTTTTCTTAATCATGTGGGGGAAAAAACAGAACGTTCTTTTGAGAAAGTACTGGTTATAAATTAATCGCAATCAATTGTTAATTCCTTTGGTTCTGACACTAAGAAAAGGTTCATCCAGATAAATCCAGTCAATGTCTGTGGTGCTGACGTTCAACGTCAGCATCAAACATATAAATAGCGTGAGCATTTAGCAGAAGTTTAAGGTAAAGAAATAACAAGTAACACCGTCCACTATTGACCATTAAAAAAAACAAACCACCAACTGTGTTTAATCAACAGAAACACATCGTAACAGGAGAGAAAAAAATAATCAAAAACAAAAGCCACGTTAGGAATTTGAACAGCTGCTCAAACGTGCGTCTGTATCTTATTCTCCGCTCGGTGCAGCCCACAAACAGTTACATTTTTTCGTGCTCAGCGTTTTAGCTGCAGCGTTGGCACATTCACCCGGCGTCTGCGCTTTAGAAATAAACTCTACATAAATTAGAAAACAATGCAGTTGTTTCCAGTTGTTTTAAAGACAAGATTTTGTTAAATTATAAATGGCACTTCAGACTGAGAGACTTTACTTTACGTTAGGAAATTATTCAAATATAAAAGCGATATTTATGGAAACTGCTGATCTGAAAGTCTACTTCTGTGGCTCGACTTCGCAGCTGGACGAATGGCCACGTCCATTATTTTATAAACGGTCTATGGCTTCTACACGACCTTAAGACCTGCTGACGTGTTCTGAACCCAGACCCCAGACTGAGCGCGTGTAGAAAACCACAGCGTTTGAATGAGGCTGTTGAAACACCACCCACTCACATCTTCACCAGTGGACGTGTAGAAAACCGCAGCGTTTGAATGAGGCTGTTGAAACCACCACCACCCACTCACATCTTCACCAGTGGAAATTCACACTTTTCCAGATCAACATGTCTTTCCCGTTTCACTTGCGAGAAATTCTTTTCTTTTCTTTTGTCGTCCGTTTTCAATTCAGCTTTTCCACACAACGTAGATATATTTACCTTTTTTTAAATTTTATTTTAACTTCCCCAGACCCAGAAATCCATGCAGACAAACGTAGGTCTGACCGGTCGTCAGCTGGTCACAGGTGTCCGCCGTCTCACATTACAATATTTGCTCAGAAACACGTGTGAACGACTGCAGCAGGGTTTAATGTCCACAGCTAAAGTCTCTGGACTGATGGTCCTTGACAAGGTCACAAGGTCAACTACGATAACCAATGTTAAAACCATGACCTAGCCCCTAGTGGAGAGTTTTCTACAAAACAAAAAAAAACAAAGATGTGCCAGACACTTTATTCCACTGGGTGGCGTAAAGTGCGTTCAGTTGAATTGTTGATGCTCACGGTTGAAGAATTAAAAAAAATGAAGCACAGACACAGAAACAGCTTCATGTGGACGAGGGTCCATCATCTCCCTGTCCTTGTGTTTTTATATCAGGGAGGGGTTTGGTTTTGTCTTGGTTTTCTGTCCTCCAGTCATGTGACACCATGGTTGGTCTTCCATTCTCCATCACTGTGTCGGATGCTGCGATGGTTTCGATAGCTTTTTTTTTTCTTCTTCTTTTTTTTTTTTTTGAAAGAATGTAATTCGGTGCTGTCAGTAACTCCATCCTGTGGTAACAGACTGGTGGTGCGCACTGATGACGCATCTCCAACTGGTGGCGCTGACCAGTGAATTTGCACATAGAACAGAGAGCAGTCTTTGGCTGCCGGAGGAGGGAGGAATCTGAACACATGACTGTGAGCCGTGAACCAGTCCAGTGGGGGAGAGAATGTGTGTGTGTGTATGGGAGTGTGCGTATGTGTGTGTGTTGTTTCATAAAACCTGCCGTAGTCAAACAGCTTTCTGTTGTTGAAAAAAAGTCACTGTTATACCATGGTGTTGCTTTCGCCCACTTTGTCCACGTACTGGAAAAAAGGGAGAGAGAGAGGGAGAGAGTCATGGAGTTGATCTGACAGTCGGACTCATTGTGTCACAGGGGCTTCATGACATGCAGAGTGACAGTGTTGCTTTAGTCAGTGTGCTGCCAGCTGCACTGCACTGTTCTGACTGTATTAGTATGAAAAGCATTCATTCTAATGAAAATCATGCAGGACTTAAAGAGACACACCACAGAAAAATATTATTATTGAGAAAAAATAAATAATTCAAAACAAATACGTTGGATTCTGGTGCTGGTGTTAAATAATTATTGTTGTATAACATGCCACATGGTGTAAGAAAACACAGATTCCCTGAAATATTGCAGTATTTCGTTTCGTGATACTATATGAATATTCTACAGCAGTGTATTGATTTTTTTATTAACAATTCAGAATCAAATATTCATGATGTCGGTTCGTTTTGTTTTGCTTTTAAAAATTAAAAGTCTTGTGCAGAAGCAGTGCTGTACAGTTAATACTGAACAGTGAATATACTGTATGTACTGCACATGGAATATTAAACCAGGGTCTAATAAATTCTAGAAACCTATGCATGTCTTTACCCAGTGTGATCTGTGGGGTGTGCCTTTAAAGTCAAATATCTAAAGAAAGAGTAAATATTAAAATCAATAGATCATCTCTCTGGCAGGAATAATGTTTGGTTTGTTTCATGAGGCGTTATGAGACATACAGTTGCAGGAAAGGGAAAATCGGCAGTGACTGACCACGACTGCTGATTGTCCTCAGAGCCTTACGAAGGCTTTATTTAAAAAAAAAAAAAAAAAACAACAAATAGACAAAGACACGTTCCTCAAAACCAAATCTCTCACACAACAGCATGGCAGCAACATGTTCATTACCCACTGAACTAATGACATAGTTTTAAACCGGAGCCAAATGACTTTCTGTTTTCACGACGTTTCTGTACGAGGCTAGCTGCTAACTGTGATTCCAGGCATCCCTGTAATGAACAATGAACAGGTAAAAGAGCCATGCTGTGCTTGTGTTTCAGCGTCGCTGCTCTGCTCGGTGGCCGCAGCGTGGGCTGGCGCTCTGATACTCACTGCACTGATGAACGACAGGTTTAGGATGGAGCCCAGGACAGGTATTCTTCTGATGAAGCCTACGATGACTGGGAAGAAGCCCCTGGACGAGAGAACGTAAACAAAGAAGGTCACGGTTAAAGTCCTCCATCGACAGATATCTGATCCTGTTTCCTGAGCTACTGTGACTCATTTTCTTTGTTCTTTGCTCACCTGAACAACAAAAAGAAACCGTAGATCTCCAGCACGACTCCAACAATTGGCCAGCCAATCAGCACCACAAAAATGCCGCCAAGGAAGAAACCGGTGGCTTTCATTTTGTGCTTCTGGAAGAAGAAGCGGAAAGTCCTTTCGAGGCCAATGACGAAGGCAAGTCCAGCAACAAACAGGATCTTAGGGCAAAAAAAAAAAAAATTAATATAAGAACATTGTCTTCTCACAAAATGCAGAGTAGACCCATAATTCAGTTCACTTACATTTCCAATAGCCAGGAGTGCTTTGTCAAAGAATAGGATCATTCCAAAGAAGAGGAAAAACACGCCAAAGCCTGTTAATCCCTTCCAATCTCTGTAACGACACACACACCACAAGAATGTTAAAGAACTCCATTTGATATTGTCACTCTGACAATAACAGAGCTGACTGACCACCAAAATGCACCACCCGAAACTGCTCCTTAGGTAAATCACAAGTGCGTGTGTTATCAAGTCATTATAATCGTTCAAAGAAGTTGTATTTATTGGGAAAGGGACACGAGTAAGTACGAGAAGCGCCCATACCTTACTGTCTGTTCCCCATTAAGTATTTTATTCACACGCCTACACACGCGAAACAATTTCGGTTCGAATCGAGGTTCAGCGATACTTGTCTGTCTTAATAGATACTTGCTTACTTTTACACAACAGAAAGCGAGAATAAAATGCAAGCTAACTTTTCTAGCTTCATCTGCTAATTACCACTTAGCCAAATAAAGCAGTTATAAACGTAGCCGGTCTTTATCAAGTCCGAAGTCGTTGCTTCAAATAACGGGGTTCTTACTTTGGGAGTCCGTCAGCGAGATCATCTTGACGCCGAAGACTAGGACTCAAAATAAAAATAAAAAATCTGTAAAAATATTACAGCGCTTTCACTCGCTCCTGTGTTGAGAATTCGGATGACAGCTGCCACTGTAGCAACAGCCACGTCTTCCGGAAACACACCTTCTCGAGTCGTCATCTTCCGGTACACGGCTGTGATACGTTCACTTACAATATTAGTTTAATTTGAGCTAATATTGCTCTCTTTTTATTTTATTGTTATTAAACTTAATCATATAGCGGGAATTTAAATAAGTAATTACCATTATCCCTAGTAGATATATTAAATACGTATTAACTATATATTTACCCATTAAGCCTGCCCCTTTTGCTCTCAACTTAATTTGTGGGCTTCACTTGAAAGCAGCAAATTTGGCGGTAAGGGAAAATTTCGTCCTGAAACGGGTTTGTCAGGCAAAATTGAGAGAATATGAGCCCATATATACACATTATAAAATTGTGTGTTTTAAAATTATGATATATTTAAAAGTCAGACAGTGATTGATCGAACTAATACGCTATAGGGAGATTTGTTTAACGCGTAAACAGCCTGTCAAACTAAAAAAAGGGCAAAGAGTTACACACTCGCTAACAGTCGGCACAAAGTAATTTACTACCAGCGCGGTCTCCTCTGTCTCTGTAGCAACCGGCAAAGAAGTTCAGCAACAAGAAAGGGCAGTCGTTGAATGGCGAGTGTGTTACATTTATATTGTTTTGACAATTTTATCCCTGCGCTAAAGTTTAGCTCGTAGGCTCATATACTGATATTGTATTGTTGCGGTGTAAGCGCCTCTAGCTAGCTAGATTTTAGTCTGACTTGTAACAATATTTAAATGTTAACTTTCAAAGTCCGGTATTAAATCAGATAATCAATTAAGTCTGTTTTAACAGCTAACGGCAAACATTAAATCACTGCCCCTCCATTGCGGGGGCACCACGTTAGATTTCGTACTTTTGCTTTCGCTTTTGCTCTTTGACTTTAAGACAAATTAATGCAAAAAAAATTGAATTTGCCACTACTTTGTGTTTTGTAATATAACGCGACATTAAGTCGACACAGATGACTGGCATTGAGGCATGGTTCCTCAGTTTACCAATCACTTCAAGTGTACTTTTACCTTTAAGTTCATGATTTAAAAAAAAAATCAAAGACTAAAATATAATTGATTTAGATTAGGAGAAAAATAACATGTTTTTTTGTGTAAACATCTGACATTTAACAGTAACATTTGAGGTGCAGCACCATGATGTAGCTAATAAAATGACCAGAACTTTGAAACAAGATTTAGAGATATATTATAAGATTAACATTTTTGTTTTGAATTATTACTAAACTCTTCTAAACCAGCAGTTAAGTAAAACCAAACACATTATGGTTCTGTTTCTCTTTTGCAGGAAGCTAGTGACCACACCTCGGTGAAGACCACGAAAAATGGAAGGTGGGTTTTGTTTTTTATTGTTTAAATTTAATCTACATCTTTTAGTAATGCAGATGTCAAAGGTCATCTGAGTGAGTCTTGTTTTGATTTATATCATGGGCAAGTTTTAAAAAAATAAAAATAAAAAAATCAGGCAGCTGCAGCGTGGCCCCCTACAGGGACTGTGGAGATGAAAACAGAAAGACATCATTAGCTGTGGATGTGTGATCCTCAGAGGGTTTGTATCTGCGAGAGTGTGAGACCTGACGTAGGTCTTCATGTTTATACAACACTATCACAGAGGAAGTACCTGCAGACCATCTGCTCTCTGTTTTTTTATTGCTTTTTTTGGCTGCTCCATCCATCTTTTACCTTCAGTGTCACCATTTTCTACTCAATGTTTGGTTCACATCATCAATTTTTCTTTTATTGGGATCTGACTTTAGCATGTTTTATACTTAAAAAACTACTGTACATAAAAATGATTAGAAAATCTTAAATTTTTATTCTCTCCTTTTTGACCATGTCGAGTAAAAATAATAACACAATTTAAACTGAAAGTGGACCAGGGAAGGTGTGCGAGGTCGTCTGTTGACCTGGTTCTGGTGTCTCCGTTTTTCCTCAGATGCTCAGGAAGAGCTGGACTCTGTGGAGGCCGAGCTGGAGATGGTGGAGGTGCAGGTCGCAGAACTCCTGCAAAAGCAGACTGAGCTCACGTCTCGTAAGAATGCACTGCTGCGACAACTGGAAGGGGCAACGTCGTCATCGTCATCTGCCAAATCTGCAAAGTCACCTGGAGCCAGTCCTTCCATGAGCAAACAGGAAATGCAGCGCTATGACGGCACAGGTGCGTGTCACGTTCCACTTTACTGTTAATACTGTCTGAGATGTGTAACCTGTATCTCATTTCAATAGTTTACGCCTCTCGACTCTTAAAATGTATTCACTATGTAATATAATTATTACATTTGTTGCAGCTGTCCCATGAGAAACTTAAGAATCCCATGATTATGGCAGTTTACCTGTCATGTGGTTTCAATAAAAAATAATTTGATTTTTTTTTTTTTTTTAAATCATCCATCCACTTTTTTAGAGCCCCCTGGTGACCACTATGTCCAGTAGAATTTGAAACAGTGTGTGTACAATGATGAACATTAAATTTGGTCGTCTTTGTTTTTTATCTGACTTGTAGGTTTCCAGTGGTCTAAGTCGGTGGAGCAGAACCTGAAGGATACGTTCCGTTTGTCCACCTTCAGACCGCTGCAGCTCCGAGCCATCAACCTGACCATGTCGGGACGAGATCTGTTTCTCGTCATGCCGACAGGAAGAGGGAAGAGTCTGTGCTACCAGCTTCCTGCCGTCTGCTCCAAGGGTACAAGGACACACACACACACACACACATACACATATAAGTGTCTGCTGTGACTGTACAGTAAATGTGTGTGTGTGTGTGTGTAGGTTCATCTCTGGTGGTGACGCCCTTAGTTTCACTGATGGAGGATCAGATCATGTACCTGAAGTCGATCGATGTGGCAGCGGTCATGCTGAATGCCTCCAGCAGCAGGGTAACGTCTGACTCCGCCCCTTCACCTCTGAGTACACCGAGTAAAATGTCAAATACTTCAAAAATGAAAAGCCCCGGTCGTATTTGTAGGAGCACGCCAAGACCGTCATGGCTGGAATGACGGAGTCCAAGTGTCCGTTCAAGCTGCTCTACGTGACTCCGGAGAAGATCGCCAAGAGCAAGCTGCTGATGTCCCGTCTGGAGAAGGCCTACAAGGCCGACCAGCTGAGTCGCATCACTGTGGACGAGGTCCACTGCTGCAGCCAATGGGGACACGACTTCAGACCAGGTGACTTTGACTTGTCCTCAACCATGAAAACCTGCCTTCATTAATACATAGAATACACTACAGTTCACAGTACAGAATCAAGAAAGATGCTGTTAGTAAATACCGTATTATCTGGAGTATAAGTCACTCCAGAGCCAGAGGATTAAAAAAAGTGTGATGCCCTCTAGTGGCTGTCATAGTGAAAATAACAAACGTGAAATTATATATTTTAATATACAAGTAGCAAACCCAGCCAAAGGATGAAAAAAAAGTGCGACTCCGAAAAATACAGTACTAGTCCATGAAAAAGACAAACTTTAAAAATATATATTTGTCGTTGTTCTTCTGTTTTCTTGCTGTGGTCGAGTCAATTCTCTTTAGTCACTGTAGGTGGAATAAAACCAGTCAACCCTTCTCATGTATGTTAGCTACTTTAGCTCTTCTCCACCCGACTGTCTGTCCTCATTTTGAGCCTCCCCAAACATGAGGTCCAACATTGTCTCCTCCTGAGAACACAGTGCTGACAGTCAATCCCACTAATCCACGCTGCAGATTATAAGCTGCTGGGGATCAATTGTCTCCTCCTGAGAACACAGTGTAGACCCAGTTCTGAATGTGCTGAGAGTCAATCCCACTAATCCCGCTGCAGATTATAAGCTGCTGGGGATCCTGAAGAGGCAGTTCCCAAAAGTTCCACTGATCGGTCTCACGGCCACGGCAACCAGCAGCGTCCTGAAAGACTGTGAGAAGATCCTGTGTGTGTCCCAGACCGTCACGCTCACCGCGTCCTTCAATCGAACCAACCTGTACTACGAGGTACAACACGTACATATACTGTACATACATAAATATGTCTTAATATATATATATATGTTGTATTATATTAATCACTGACAATCTGATTTTTTTTTCCTTCAGGTTCGTATTAAAGACTGTGACAACGATGCGTCAATAAATGACATCGCCTCTTTGATAAAGACCAGATACAAGGACCAGTCAGGTATGAGACACACACACACACACACACACTCACACCAAAACAGCATTTTAACTCGGACATAAACCTGGAGTTAAATCTAATATAAAGTCTAAAAAAAACATAAAAAAATAAAACCTAGAAATATTTTAGATACTTTATAGAAGCAGTCGAAGTAGGACTGAAAAATAGGGATGTGCCCTTTTTTTTTTACAATTTAATGCTGATAAATAAAAGTTTAAGTCAATCAAGACTCTACACTTAATTACCCATAATTATACTGTATCTGAAACCAATGATTTACATCAACAGTTCAGGGACATTTATTGTTTTTTCTGTCATCGTTCCAACAATGTTTTTTGTGTTTGTGTGTGTGTGTGTCTGTCATCGTTCCAACAAAGTTTTTTGTGTGTGTGTGTGTGTTGCAGGGATTGTGTACGTGTTTTCCCAGAAGGACGCAGAGGCCGTTGCATCTGAGCTTCAGAAGAGAGACATCTCTGCGTCCGCGTATCACGCCAACATGGATCCTGAAGACAAATCCCAGGTTCACCGCAAGTGGACCACCAACAAAATCAGGGTGGGTACACACACATGAACACACACACTCACAAACACACACACTGTTGCCTTTCATCATCAACATACAGACGATTGACCACTGCTGTTGTTGCCCCACAGGTAATTGTTGCCACTGTGGCCTTCGGTATGGGCATCGACAAACCTGACGTCAGGTTCGTCGTCCATCACACCATCAGCAAATCTATTGAGAACTACTACCAAGAGAGTGGACGCGCAGGTACACACACACACACACCGCAGTGGTGCGTTCACAGACGTGGTTGGGTTGTTGTTTTTTTTTTTTACATTTTTGTGGTGTGTTTGTGTGCGCGCAGGTCGGGACGGTCGCCCGGCGGACTGCATCGTCTACTACGGTTTCTCAGACATCTTCAGGATCAGCACCATGGTGGTGATGGAGAACGTGGGCCAAAAGAAGCTGCTGACCATGGTCGACTACTGTCAGAGCGTGGACAGGTGAACGGTTACTGTACCAGGATGTTGGTTTTATTGAAATGTCCTTACAATGTTTTTTATAGCGCCACCAGCAGGGCTGAATGGGTGGTTGCATGCTGTCTTTTTAGCTGAGCTAAATGAAAGCCCATGGCTTTGGCTTTGTCTTCTACAGCTATATATTTGATGTATTTGATATATATATATGATGTACGACATCAGACTCTCACACATGTACTGCGCCTGTAGGTGTCGCCGCTCCCTCATGGCTGTTCATTTCGATGAGGTGTGGGACAACAAAGGCTGCGGCCAGATGTGTGACACTTGTCGTCATGCAAATGGTAACTAGTGTGTGTGTGTGTGTGTGTGTCAGTAATCAATAATACATCCGTTGATCTGGTCGTTTTAATGACTCATCATTTCTCTGATCTCGCCAGATTACGTCACTGTGGATATTACCCAGCATGCCAGGCAGGTGGTGCAGATCCTGGAACTGGCGGTGACCAACGATGAGAAGCTGACTCCTCTGAAGCTGGTGGAGGCGTGGATGGGCAAAGGCCCGGCCAAACGCAGGAAGATGATCCAGATGACCTTGCTGTCCCGGCCGCAGGTGGAGGCCGTGATCGTGCAGCTGCTGCTGAAGAGTTACCTCGGGTAACGGACGCTCCGACCACTCTGGTTTTCATTCTTGATCTGTTTTTGACTGTGTTTCACTTTGATATATTTGATATATGTGACATATGTTTGGACCAAACCCAGTAACGTGGTCAGTGCTGCTGCCTTACAGCCAGAGAGGTCACAGTCCAACAATGTGCAGGATTACGGTAATTCAGTGTTTTCAAACTAGGGGTCGTGACTCTACGTGGTGTCGCCTGGAATTCAAATTGGGTCAAATTAAATTTAATGATTTAATAAAATTAATAAAAATAAGATAGAATTAAAAAATATATATAATAATAATATTTATTCATAATATTTAATATTTATTCAGGGTCTCAAGCTGAAAACGTTGTGACCCACTGGGTTCACTCTTAATTGTAGGTGTGAATGTGGTGTGAACGGTTGTTTTTCTGTGTGGAGGATGTGACTGTTCACTCTGGAACTGCTGCTCCTGGTTAGAGAAATAAATCATTTCCAATCAACAGCCTGTTTCTGCTACAAGATGACAACAGTTGCGTCATCTTTATTTCATAGAGAATCACCCAGAATGCACTGGGAGTCCATTCACGTGTGTAATCGGCCTGTGTCTGTCGTCCTGTTTCAGAGAGGACTTCAGCTTCACTCCGTACGCCACATACTTCTACCTGAAGCTGGGACCAAAAGCTGCTCTGCTGAAGAACAACAGCCACTCAGTCAGTGTGAAGATGAAGAGCACGGAGGGGAGGTCTGCCTCGGTGAGTTACGACGGTCACATGACCAGAGATGATGTGTAGGGGAGGGGAGGTAGATATAAAAAAAAAAAAAAGTAAACCAAGGCTACAGTGCTGTGCAAAAACACAAGACACATTTTATAATATTTTGGATTTAATTCAGATTTTCTTTTTTATTTATTTATTTATTTTATTTTATTCAAAATGAAAGACCGTCACGTGGTCAAATTAGCACAGGTTTTATTTTTTTTTTCATGTTATTCAAAATGAAAGACTGTCACGTGGTCAAATTAGCACAGGTTTTCCTCAGGAGTCGACCTGCAGTAGCTTCATCCTGCCAGCAGAGGGCCGTTTCCTCTTCACTTGTTCTGCTTGTTGATTAGAAGTCGTTTTTAGAAATCGTCTCCTCTCTTTAAACTCCGTGGTTGTGTTTCTTTCTCTTGACTTTGTTGATTTTTTTTCCTCTTTGTGAAGTGTGTTTTAATGACTTCCTGTTTTCCTTTGTAAAACTTTTAATTTTTTTTTTTTTACACACTTCTGTCTGTTTCCAGAGTCCAGAGGTGAGTCGGCTAAATTTAACTCCTAACTCCAACAATTTATTCCCAGTATCATTGAAGTATTTCTGTGTCTTATTATCACACGGTCCAAACGTCTAGTCTTCAAAAACAACAGTCACTTTGGTAAAACTTCAACACTAATATGATAATAATCAGTAGACGTCTAACTGTATTAATACTGTATTAATCATACAGTAGAGGAGAAATAGATTTTCTATGTCTTCACCATGTCATGAATGGCAGCAACAAAATCACAGCAATATGACAATTAGTTGATCAATGGTAAATGTCAGTTTAGTGATGGAAAAAAAAAAACATCCTAGTGAGGAGCTGCTTCAGGTCAGAGGTCATCAGCTGAACCTCTGCTTTTACAACAAACATCTGAATTTGGACCTAGTCTTGTAGTGTAAACTGGTCTTAAAAAAAGAAAAAGTTCTGGTCTCAAGTAGATTAGAACAAGTTTCTGAAATAATTCCACGAATATCCAAACGGACCAAGAACGGTACCCCGATCCTTACTTTGTGTCCTCTAGATTAGACTACATTTGGAATCACTAGAGAAGAAAGAAAAGAAAAAGAAAACGAACCAACACCAGGAATATTGGACTGGGAATTGGTGGTAAAAATGGAGGAGACTGATACGGGATCAGGAGACTAAACATCACCACATTGCAGTGTATCAATATTTTCTTGCAGCCCTGCTCTTCCTGCTGCACGTGCAGCTGTGGAGCCTCTCAGGTAAAGGCTGTTGTCAATGACCTGCAGGTTAAAGCTGGAAGTGGCTCAGAGGG